CGCTGGCTCAGCAGATATTTGTGGGTCTCTGTACATGTGTAACGACGACTTGACACACTTCTCTTGAGATGGCACTTCATTGAAGACGCGTTCACTTGACATCAGGCGGAGACCCCCACTGCAACAGCCCCGAGTCCCCCGCGCATCTCCCTTTTATATACCGACACGAGGCCACGCCCCCCTTCTCGATCATTCTCGCTGACTCTGGACGCTCGCTCCACCGGCAGACTCCACCGTCCTCTTCCGTCACCTGACCACGGCTCCCTTCTCCAACATTCCCGTAGCCACCAGTCCCGACGCGATCACAACTGATACCCCTGTCATTACCTCCCGTGGCCACTAGTCCACTCACACTGCAGGCCAACTCCCCTGCCATTACCTCCTGTGGCCACTAGTCCACTCACACAGCAGGCTGACTCCCCTGTCATTACCTCCCCTGGCCACTAGTGTATTTGCACGACAGGCCAACTCCCCTGTCATTACCTCCCCTGGCCACTAGTCCATTCGCTCTGCAGGCTGACTCCCCTGTCATTACCTCCCGTAGCCACTAGTCCCCTCACACCGCATGCAGGCTCTATTGTCATCACACATGCCTGACTGGGAAGTAAAAATGTAAAGGCGGGGGGGGGGGTGCATTTTTAGGGGGAGTGACAAACCCAGTGAACTGTTTTCTAGCACTTGATATATTTTTTACTAGAGTTCAGTAACAAAGTAAACACTTAACGCGACGAGGAGAGCAAATCTAACGCTGTGTGCGGCGAGAAGCAACAAACCACGTGTACACTTGCAATGTATTTACAAACGTTCAACTAATTTCCGAATGCGTTCGCAAAACTTGGAGTAAAAAAACAATGCTACTCGAAAAAAAAAACAAAGCGACGACGATGATATTGCTACTGAATCGTATGAATGCATGAAAAAATATATTTCTAAGGCAAGTATTTTTTAACAAAAATCCACAATGATTGGTTTGTATGTAGGTGTAAGTAAAAATAGCTTAAGTGAAATTACTTTTGAACAGAATAATAATGTGCTATATGCATAATGTGTAAATTGGTCAAATAGGAACATTCATATTCGGATAAAAACTGAAGATAATATTAAGATCGTTATTTTTCTTTAACAGTGAAAGAAAGCAAATGTGCTACTTTTCTTACAAAACGCAGATATAATTATGACCGTCAATTACACTTGGCAGATGCACTGTCTCATACACAAATGTTAAGATACCATATTGTTTACTATTTAAGCTCTTCAAGAATAATAAACTCTACGTTTCGGCTACACTTGTAATAGTGTTCCTAACAATACAACATCACGAATGAGTGTGTGTTTGAAAAAATATATAATGTACGATGCACGAATCTAAAAAGAAGAGACTCACCACAATCATCGTTAACACTGTCCCGTGAGATACAAATTAGATAACAGTTCAACATTTCAGGCAGTGTGGCGAGAGATGACACGGCGCATTTTTTTTAGTTCACTTACACTGGTGCCTCAATAGCGTTGCACGAAGCCGACAAGAATAATTGTGTACAGATAGATCATGTGTAACCGTAAAAATACCCCCCCTCCCTTCCAATACGTTATCATGTGCAACAAGTGACTTGCGCACAAATACGTCCACGTCGTCATCGCCTACGAGCACCTCGTGCCCTCTTTTAGCCCCCCCCCCTCCCGACAGTGGCGGCTCCTGCAAAATCTCTCAGGGGGGGCAAATGTCTGGATGATTGATACGGATAAGGTCCACCCATGCAATGGATAAATTAACAGCTTAAGCATGTAAAGGCAACTTCACTACTTTAATATTAATGAAAAATAAAGTGACTCTTACAATACATCTTGTTTGTTTCTATACTCACTATTAAAACAAACCACTAGGTGGCGACAAATTATATTGTTGGATGAAACGTGCTTACGTATGATGACGTAAGCACGTATGATGACGTAAGCACGTTAGGGCGAGCCCTCCCGGAAGCCATAGAGAATGCATTGCAGCGCCCCCGTTCGAAAAAAAACATGTTTGAATGTAAGTCTATGGGAACACTCGGGGCGATTCTCAGCCGGAGTGAAATCGCCTAAAAAGAGGCGGTACTCCACAGAACGTGACATGACGCTGATTGGACTATATCCAGAGGCTGCAGTGACGGCTAGCGTGACTCTGTGGTTCAATGACATTGGTGGTGCGTCGCCCAATCGCCCTAATGAAGAAACCGCCCCTGCCTCCCGATACGTTCCATTCATTGGCTACCACATTCTGATAAGCTCCCCCCCCCTTAACTTGTATTTAAGAACTTCCATCTTGAATCCCTGCCTCACTTGATGCAGCAAATCTGGCTGTGACGGTCCCCACCTGATGACGGAGACTTGTGTTGCCTCCGAAACGTCGTGATTTTTATTTAATTTTTATTAATTACAATTTCATTTTTTACCTACGTGACTTTACCGAAAGAACTAAGAGTATGGTATGTGAAGTCATTTAATCGATTGGGAATCAAGTTAAAATTCACGTCAACGTACTTGTTTTAAGGCACCAAGTGTAAATGGACCACGTCCAACTACAAGTCATTATTTATGCTCGCTCTCTCTCGAGTTTGAAGCCTGTTTCGAATATTCTTCTGCGATTATGAAGCAGTGTTAAAGACACGTGGTGAGATTTTGATTTGTGCTTAAGCACCAATGCCAACGCAGTCTTGCAATCGTCAATTAGAATCCCAGCAAACGTGTAACGTTAGCCCAAGGTTGGCAGTGGTTGACACTGTTGGGCTGACGTCTGCTCAACGTCGGCCCAACGTTCCACATTTACCGGGACTGCGCGTGCATATTAAAGTGTGCGTATCCGATTATGGATAGTCAAACTTCATCCGATATAATATAAATCGTCATCCATCCACTGGATGGCCGGATAGCTCTTGAATGGTGTTCTCAGGTTGTACAGCGTGTTGTTCGGTATTGGTGACCGACGTTTCGCTCCTGGGAGCCAAACAACGCGCAAATATACAACCCAAAGACACATCGGAGAGCTGTACAGCAGCACACGTGCGCAAATCTGCACAAGAGTACTCTGGAATACCGATCATGCGACGCACTCAAAGGAGCTCCGCGAGTATCATCGCCCACACTCCATCCGTAGAAAGAAAGCGGCAGCTCACACGGCAGTTCTCTCCATACCAGGCAGTATCTCTGTTCTAGATTTGAAGCTTTCGTGACTGCAAGGATTCATACTCTTAGGTTTTTTCGGTCAAGTCACGTAGGTAAAAAATTAAAATTTATAAAAGTTACATAAAAATAAAATAAAAATCACGACGTTTCGGAGGCAACACAAGCTTCCGTCTTCAGGTGGAACCGTCACAGTACGATAGCTGTATCAAGTGATAGCTGTATCAAGTGAGATACAGCTATCGTGCTGTGACGGTTCCACCTGAAGACGGAAGCTTGTGTTGCCTCCGAAACGTCGTGATTTTTATTTTATTTTACTTTTATTAATTTTAATTTTTTACCTACGTGACTTTACCGAAAAAACCTATGAATAAGTATCTCTGTTAACTATTTAAATGGGGCTTGGCTCCCACTTCTTTTGAAGCACAACACGACACAACTCGAGACGACACCGCAACACCGTGAACGCAAACCGGCCGAACTCCCAAGCGGCTGCGGCAGTTTGGGCAACAAAATCGAACACGGCTCACAATCGTGAAACTCCCCAACCACCACAGTGAGGTGGCCACGAGATGACAGCGTGGCTCGTGGGTTCGTAAAAACCCAGCCGTGTGGAATTTTGAATGTTTTCATTTCTCGTACTTTCTCAAGAGTACTCCACATGCATACCATCAGTGTGCGAATGACACATGAACCGGTCCTTCAAGGGATTTAGTCACACTGGGGATGCTGCATTCTTCCACATGCTCTGCTGGAGAAATCTGGCCCCCACACCTCCCCCCACCACCTTCACCAGTGTGGTGAAGTACAGTCAAACAACCCTTCGACGACACAGCATGGAGAAGCATTCATCCAGCAGGGCATTGACAAAAGGCGCTCGTAAACTATTACTAGTTAGCCTCGGCGCACGGAAGTCACGCTTCTATGACCTTAAACCAAGGGGGAAGTTCAACTTCTGTGGGTCATGTCGCTTGCTATTTTAGAACCCAGCCCTTCCGCTTTATTTCTAGATTTGAAGCTTTCGTGACTGCAAGGATTCATATTCTTAGGTTTTTTTCGGTAAAGTCACGTAGGTAAAAAATTAAATTTTACTTCTATAAATTTTAATTTTTTTACCTACGTGACTTTACCTAAAAAACCTAAGAACATGCTTCCTTTTTTCGATTTAAAGCTTTCGTGACTGCAGGGATTCATCTTCTTGGTTCTTTCGGTAAAGTCACGTAGAAGGGAAATAATAAAAAATAAACCATAATAAAATAAAGAGGGCCCTCTAGAGAGCTCCTATTATTTTATTATGTTTTATTTTTATTATTTTATTATTTTCCTTCTACGTGACTTTACCGAAAGAACCAAGAAGATGAATATGCTTCCTCTTTATGCCCCGCTCCCATACTCCTTATGCCCCGCCCCCTTCCTGACCAGGCCCCGCCCCCTTCCTGACTAGGCCCCACCCCCTTCCTGACTAGGCCCCGCCCCTTTCCTGACTAGGCCCCGCCCCCTTCCTGACTAGGCCCCGCCTCTTTCTGTGCCTGTGCTGTTCCGGCTTTCATACGTGCTCGAAAACAGCACTTGCTCCTACAGCCTGTTAAAGCTATATGGGAGATTTCGATTTAAAGCTTTCGTGACTGCAGGGATTCATCTTCTTGGTTCTTTCAGTAAAGTCACGTAGAAGGGAAGTAATAAAATAATAAAAATAAAACATAATAAAATAATTCTCACGACGTTTCGGCCACAACGCAAGTAGCCGTCTTTCTGACAGACCTGCTGTTCTTCACCTGAGGACGGCTGCTTGCGTTGTGGCCGAAACGTCGTGAGAATCATTTTATTATGTTTTATTTTTATTATTTTATTATTTCCATTCTACGTGACTTTACCGAAAGAACCAAGAAGATATATGGGAGACCTTTGTCTCGTCTCTCTGTCTTGGCGTGGGTTGTGGAAACGGGGAGTATGCACAGAAGGTGGTCGTGCGTGGGTGGCGACAGTAGCGTTAGGGGTGGGGGTGTCTTCACTACCTGCCCCCTACCGGACATGCGGAAAATAGATTCATAGCTCATCGGATTCCTCCTCAGTCTAAATAACGATTCGGATTCACCAAGACCAGAATTCCTCTTCGAGCAAAAGATTTTAAGCTGGTGCCAGACGGCCTGAAACACATCGATTTCAAATGAGGGCTGTTTCATGGAGTAAATTCCATCTTCATTTGGACTTCATTGAAATATTATAAACTATTTCACATTTGTTTCACTGCTACATTCACGTTATCTTTTCTTTTCGTTTAGTTTATCCTTCCACCGCACGTCCCATTAGCACAGTTGGCTACATACGGGTGCCAAATAAGTTCAACAAACATACGCACGTCTTTTTTCACATGTTTTGTTGTACTTTTATGGTCCAGGTCTCTGTGAATCATTGTCTCAATAGGCCCTCACCTGGATTAAATAAAGGTCACCTTACCGTTCCATCTAGGGTTCGATGGGTGGCGCAGTGATTCGAGGACTGCACGATCAACAATCGGGTGAGAACCTGACTTCGATTTCCAGCCATGGCTTTATCTTTATTGGTCCTGGACCCCCTCGTTTCACCAACGTACGCTGACCAGCATGGTAAAGTGTGGTCAAACAATCCCCATGACTGACACAGCATTGACACGCTTTCAATCATCACTGGTTTGACATGGGGTTGTACATGATTAACTATTCATCTTAAAAAGGTAAAAGTGCAGCCCTGCAATAGCTTGCGGATTCCACTGCTGGTGGGTGAATCTCCACCAGAGGACCCTCTAGAGAGCCCCTCTAGAGGGTATTTGGCCTACTCTTCCATGCTGGCCAGACATCTTGGAAGGGATGGTTAGCCCCCACACTTTACCCCACCACCACACGCAACCAGCGCAGTTAGCTGACCCGGCGATCGACTAACCGCCGTGTGGACAAAAGGCGATTTTAGACAACTCATAGTTTCCACTGCCTTGTGACCCATCACACGACGGGCAGCACAAACCTATTCACCTAACTTCACCTAAGAGGTTTTATCGATCCTCATCACGATTCGGATCGTACGAGCGATTCTCGTCAGCGATAGGCATCCCACGACCGTTTCTTTAGCACCGGCAACGCCTACTCCTCCCGAGAACCGGTCCCGCCCGGTGACGCGTCCGTTGGCTGTCGACGAGCAACGGCGGCGCCCCGGTTCGTTCCCGTCGTAGAGAGCCGCTTACAGCTTGTGTGTGCCCAGGTGCTCCTTGAGTTTGGGGATGGTGGAGATGTCGCGGTGGCACATGTGGCACTGCAGGGGCTTCTTCAGCAGCTCCGCCGTGTCTTCGGGTATCACCACACGCCCGTCCTCCTCCACCATGCGCATCACGACTAAGGGCGGGGGGGGGGGGGGGTAGGGCGGGGGGTAGAGCGGGGGGGGGGGGGGCAAACGAAAGGGAGCAATTAAAGTCTGTGTTTTTTTATATTTTGCATTTTTCAACTACGGTTAGAATTGTTTACGAGTAACAGCAGCTCTGTCTGTTCGTCCGTCCGTTACGGTGGAGGCAGCGGGGGAGTGGGGGGCAGGCATGAAAATGCTCGCAACAGTGATGAGATTCGAACAAAACTGTTGCATGAAGTTGCGTTGCTTTTCGGGACACGCCGTAAGGGAAATTCGGCCAAATTGACCCAAGCAAGTTTCCTCAAAACGTGGAGACATGAACCAGAAAACGATTGTCTGTATGCAAATGCACTTTTGCCTGAGAGCTGCATTACTTAAATACTTTCGAAGCTAAAAGCATGTTGGAAAGCGTCACGTAACCCATGTGCATGCATTATTTCTCCTAACTTGTATTTTTATTTCGTCCTTCCTTGTTTTCTGCCAATCACGTTATCCGCGTCTTGTCTTAAGACGAAGTGTCAATTCCGAACTGTCACCCCGCGGCTCAGAAAACAGAGTAGTCGATGGCAGGCATGGTGGTTGTACAATATCACAATCATTTTTGTCACCAGTCATTCAATTATTCCTGCATAATTAACAGCACGTACATAATGAGCATTATAGAGTGTAAAGCTGCAATGATCAGGAGACTCATGGCAGGCTTATGTTTTTCAGTGAACTACAGTTTAACTATTCGTTGCATTTTATTTGTACAGAAGCATTGAAAAGCACAAAAAACTAAAATATATCCTAATAATTGTCGTATCATGAAGATGAATACCGCAATGCATCGTGAAAACGGTCATCTGGGCAACTCTGCACACAACCCGGCTATCGGCCGCCATATAGCCAGTGTATACCACACACACACACACAAAAGATCCCCCCAATAGCCTTAACATACTGTTGGAGCAAGTGCTGTTAGCAAGCGCCTATGAAGGCCAGAACGGCTCATGAGGGGGTGAGTGGCCAGCACCATGCCCAGCCGCCTTCGTCTCTCCAGTGGCGATGTTTTTACGCACCGCACCCGGTACTCATTTGAAGCTGAGTTGACCTACAGGCGGGCCCAAGACCGGTTCAGATAATCGTCACTGATGTTGGCCGTGAGCAGGAATCGAACTCGGATCGCCAGGTTTGCAGCGCAGCGCGCTAACCGCTACACTACCACTCCCACACACACGACAGTATACTACACACACACACACGTGCCCGCACTCACTGCAGGGGTGACTCACCCTCCGAGTCGATGAAGTAACCCGTGGTGAAAGAGTTCCAGTGCTTCTTAGTTTTCAACCTCGGCGAGTCGAAGTCCTGGCTGATGACGTGCATGTGAATGCGGCTGGTTTGAGATGAAGGAACGAGACAAATCCACACGCACAAAACATAAGGGGCTGCGGCGGCGGTAGCGGGACACAGGCGCATATAACGATAAAAAACAATGCATTCGTTATCGACTCTGCTTTGTAACAGAAACGTAGTTGGCCGACGTTACGGGGGACATACGGATTTGAAGCGCCGGTGACGGCCACTCAGTCCCGCACGTCCGATTAGCAAGGTTGGCTACATACGGTAAAAAAGAAGTTCACCATACATATGTATCGATTTAAAGCTTTCGTGACTGCAGGGATTCATCTTCTTGGTTCTTTCGGTAAAGTCACGTAGAATGGAAATAATAAAATACTAATAATAAATTAATTATCACGACGTTTCGGCCACAACGCAAGCAGTCGTCCTCAGGTGAAGACCAGGTCTGTCGGGGAGACAGCGTCTGAATGAAACACCACCATCGTTCAGACGCTGTCTCCCCGACAGACCTGGTCTTCACCTGAGGACGGCTGCTTGCGTTGTGGCCGAAACGTCGTGAGAATTATTTGATTGTTTTATTTTTATTATTTCCCTTCTACGTGACTTTACCGAAAGAACCAAGAAGATGAATATGCTTCCTCTTTATGCCGCCCCCTTCCTGACTAGGCCCCGCCCCCTTCCTGCCTAGGCCCCACCCCCTTCCTGACTAGGCCACACCCCCTTCCTGACTAGGCCCCGCCTCTTTCTGTGCCTGTGCACCGGCTCACCTCATGCTGGGGATGGCGTGGTACCCCAGGCGGAACGTTGGCGGCGCCGTCGCCGCGCCCAACGGCTGCACCTGGCGGGACAGCCTCTCGGCCACGTCGTGCATGTGGCGCAGCAGCGGCAGGTGGTCGGCGCGCAGCACGCTCACGTTCGCCACGAACCGCCAGGGCAGCACGAGCCAGTGGTGGCGCGCCTTGGGGAACTTGTCGAGGATCACCACCACCTGCTCATCGCGGAAGATCTGCGTGGCACGCGCGGCGGAGGTGAGGAACTCGGGAGTTGACCGACCGTTCCCGATTTATAGGAACGCAGAACTTGGGCAATTGCTGGCGCCGGTTACGGCTGCCTTCGCCTGCGCCCTGCGAACCCCCACCCCCGCCACCGCTCGTCTGTGTTTTCTGGTTTGCCCTGCGTATCTGCGCGATAACAGTTTGAGGATTATATATTCTACAGCGTTTTGAGATGCAACTTGCATTAATGACGCTGGCTGTGTGGCGTAGTGGTTAACACGCTGTAGCTACAAACCCGGTAACCCGAGAGCTGAATTCTCACTTGCGGTCAACACCACTGACGATTATCTGAACCGGTCCTGCACTCTCCCCTAGGTCGACTCAGCCTAGAATGAGTACCTGGTGCAGTATGTAAACAACGCTACGAATAGCACTCGCCCCAAAAGCCTGCATGGCTATACGGGATGGATCTTTGACTCGTGTTCATGTCCGTCGATAAACATCGACACGTGGACTGTACGAGGCTCGGTGCAGCTAGCTTTTACCAATTAAATCCGAGTGTGCACGTACATTGTACATGCACTTCCGATTAGCGCTTTTAGCTAGGTACGGCACGAAAGAAGTTCAACATCCATACACCGATGGACGGACCGTTGTCGTCTATCGGATGTTATCTTGTCAATGGGTTCCTACGCAGTGACGATGTCAATCCGCCTTGGGGTCTGGCGTCCCATGAGCCACACACCTGCACGCTCGGGTCATCCATGGCGTCCCTCAAGCTCTGACTCCAGTGGGCCGGCTGACCCTGCACGGCGGCACAGCAGAGTTTCGTTTGTTGCACAACAGCTGTAGAATGACGATTTCAATTCACGTAACTTTCAAGCGCGGCCATCGACAGCCTGATGGACATGTTAAGTGTCTCATGTATAATATGGGTGTGTGCAGCAACATAAAATATAATAAAGAATTACTTTACCAGGTAAGGCCCACTAAGCGACCTGGCCACAACCGATAGCTCAACGAAGTGGCTTCTTATTACGTGGACATTAATAGCAGCCAATTACTCTAAATGCACGTCGATTCTAAATGTGGAGGGGAAAACCAGAGGACCCGTAGAAAAATCCACGCGACCATGGGGAGAACATGCAAACCCCCAAATATACAGCAGGCGTCACAGGGTCGGGATCGAACCCACGACCTCCTATATACCAGGCGAGGTCGTTAACATCTCGCCACCGTGGCACCCCCGGAGCAAGCCCGACCTCCTCAGATCTAGGAAGCTGCGCTGGTTTTAGTTGCTCGGAATGAGTGCGCACTGTGTACACACAAGAGTTTCGGGGCTGATGTGGAGCTACGAGGTGGGTGGCAGAAGGCGGCGCAGTGGAATCCATCGTTGCCCTCTGTGTACTTGTGTGGTCCCACGTCTACGCTCCGACCAACGTGGTGAAATACGGTCAAATGGGCTCCACGGCTCGCAGGGCGAGGGGAGGCCTTCATCCAGCAGTGGACTGACAACGGGGCTGTACATGTACCAGTTATGCTCAACACTGTCATTGTAAGGCGTAATATGTTCGCAACAACTCTGTGGGTCAGGATTTTGTACAGGGGTGTGTAACGATGCATCGATCCATTAATAACCTATTTATTTAGTGATACTGCGTTGGCAGCAGTGCAAAATCAGGAACAACTAAAAGACATGTTCATCACGAACACTGCCTTAAAAGTATACAATCGGCGATGTTCCGGGTGGCAGCCCTTCAGCGGCCGTTCATCAGAGCACACGACCACGGCTCCGTTGGCTCCGTTGGCTCCGTGCCGCCCGCCTGGGGCGCTCTCGCAGGTAACGCACTCCGCTGGCCGCTCGTGTGACACGCTCTCGCGGGTAACGCACCCGCTGGCCGCTCGTATGACACGCTCTCACGGGTAACGCACCCGCTGGCCGCTCGTGTGACACGCTCTCGCGGGTAACGCACCCGCTGGCCGCTCGTGTGACACGCTCTCACGGGTAACGCACTCCGCGGACCGCACGTGTGACACGCTCTCGTGGGTAACGCACTCCGGGGGCCGCTCGTGTGACACGCTCTCGCGGGTAACGCACCCGCTGGCCGGTCGGACTCTTCTGCGCGTTCCCCTTGGTTGGCGACACGCTCGGGGAGTTGTCCTTCGCGTGGTCCTTCCCGCCGACGAATTTCAGGAACTTCCTGATGGATCCCGCCTGGCTGTCCGACCCCGACGGGGAGTGCCAGGCACGCTTGGGAACATGGGACGGTCGCCCTGATGGCGACGTGGTCGGGGACGGGGCTGAGGCGGAGGCCGAAGTGGAGGCCAGGGTGGAGGGCGGGGGGGAGGCCGGACCGCGGAACTCGACATGCATCGGGTAGGAGGCGTTGACGACGTGCAGCGTCTGCCCGGGCCGAAGTTCGGCCTCGCCGTGGTGGCCCAGCTCGACCGTCTCGATGCTCGTCGGATTCACGCCCAGCTTGGCGGTAAAAACGCAGCAGCACATGCACCGTGTGTGAACACACGAGCACAATACAGACACACGAACACACTTAAGGGTCCATATTTACGTACGCAGCAACAACAGCAGCAGCTTCCATTTGCTAACGTTATTTATAACACCTGCTTGCCCAGGAAAACCTCGCCGAGTGTCAACTCTTTTTTAAGAGGATCCTGCCAAGTTTTCTAAGTTGTGGGGCGATGATTGCTACGTTTATCAATGCAGTCATTTGCGAATAAGTTTTAAAATGTCGCAAAGAATGCCAGCACACAACGGCCAACACTTTTTAAAATGACGTCACCAGATCTTTGAGAAGGCTCTATTTCCCACGTTTAAAGGTTTACTGAAGGCTTTGACAGTGGGTCTTAGTTGCTGAAGAGTGAGTGGATTATGAGATGAGATGAAACGAGAAAAAACCACGAGGGTCGTGTGAACAGCAATATGCCCCACGTGTCTTCGTCTCCCCAGCACGCAGAAGCCCTTCTTGCTTTAATTCAATGTCGAAGACACTTTGCAGCCCATCATTTTTAGAAAAATACGCGTGATCCACCGGCCCTTGCCTCCAGAGCACTGGATCACATGCATGGCCAAGTCAGGAGTTCACACGCTATGCACGGTTGCTTTGCGGTAAATGAGTGTCATTCAGATGAAGCAAAGTAGTAAATGAGAAACTTGTCTGTCAATCATGATGGGGTTTTTTTTGTTAATCAATACATGGGGCAAGTTTATGAAATCGCCTCGCCTCTGTTCGCCCGAGCAGTATAAATGGGTGCACAATAGTCGATCGGAAGGTCGAGCGAGGTGGGGTAAAACGTGGCTACTCTCACTTCTGCCAACACATTTGGCCAGTCGTGAAAGACAGACGAAATACCCTCCATGAAAATTTTTTTTTATTGTACCAGTTAAGGCCCACGGAGCTATATAGCTATTTTTCAGAAGCGACCTTGCTATCACAAATGAAGTGGCTTATTATGTGGAAATGTATAGCAGCCAAATACTGTAAAGGCATGTTTCTAAATGTGGAGGGAAAAACCAGAGGACCCGGAGAAAAATCCATGCGACCATGGGGAGAACACGCAAACTCCCAAATATACAGCAGGCGTCAGGGTCGGGATCGAACCCACGACCTCATTGTATACCAGGCGAGATAATTAACATCTCGCCACCAGTGGCGCCCCTCCGCTAGAGGGGTTCTCTAGAGCTCCCTCTAGTGGAGGCTGCTTCTGCCAGCAGTGGCATGAGCGAGCAGTTGCAGGGCTGCACCTTTATATTTCTGATATGGGGAGAACACGTACCTGTTTAATAAGCACCACTCTTTTGGAGTAAATTGCCTGCACTGAAACTACAGAATGAACAAAGGGAAAATGTTAAATACATTATGATAAACACATAACATTGCCATTAAATGTACATAATATTGACAAAAGGTAGTGACAGTGGACTGATGGAATGATACTGTATATAACCATTACAAAAGTATCAATTATAATAACCATCGATGCATTTACTAGAGCCGTTTGTCAATCCACTGCTAGATGAAGGCCTCCCCAATGCTGTCGGTCAGAACATCACCAACCTACATTGACCAGCATGGTGAAGTATGGTCAATTAACCTGCGGGGATAATTAGGTCTTAACAATACACAAGTCAGAATGACGGCAGCAACGATCAAAATGCTGCAATCATGGACATCGTCAACAATCTGTGGTCCTTAAATCATGAGAAGAATCAACACTGTCCTCTCTCCGATCCGTACAGCCCTTTTGTTAACGCACTGCTAGATCAAGTTCTCCCCATGCCATGTGGCTGGTGAGGCTTATTTGACTATTCACCACGCCGAACACTGCAGGCGGGTGCAGGCATGCAGGATAGATGTGTGATTATAGTAAAGTACAACAATGGATGTTGCTGCACCGCTGTCTGCATCGCTGTGTATGACACTTGGTATGCGTGGTGGTTGCCCATCAAAAACGCGAGGTCGGCTTAAGCCTGCTTAGCTCTTGAGATTTGGGGTGTTCCGGCTGACTTGGCCAGAGGGCTCCGACCCAAAGTGACCACAAACATTACACTTTACAGAGAGGGCGGGTACCACAGCATTTCGCATTACACACACACACACACATCCCGCAACTCCGATAAGCACAGTTAGCGACGTACAGTGCGAAAGAAGTTCAACACACATACATTAAGCCAGTGTTGTTCTTCATTGTAAGGCCTGCAGGACACTGGCGGTCCCTGGTGACAATTTGTGTGGCCCCTGACATGCAGCCGTACCTTTCTTCATTATTGACAACTTGCAGCGCAGCACACGGCAGATGCCTGCGCAGCGCGATTCACGACCTCCTCTTGATACCAAGATCCAGGATGGTCATCACGTCTATGCGCCGCTTCTCTGTGGCAGCCCCAACAGTCTGGAACGCTATCCCTCTGTACATTCGCAGAATCACCTCAATCGCCTCCTTCAAGAGAGACTTAAAAACTCACCTCTATAACCACGCTTTCGAGCGACTCTGAGCTCGGCTCCGCGCCTCCGAGTTGCGGCCAATACGTCCGCAAATTTGTGCGTGTGATAAATTTAACTATTTTATTATTACCCCTTGCAGGCGGTGTGGACGGCCCTCACACTGATGATGTTTCATCGGCGAAAGTGGCCCCCCCCTCTGAAGATCAGGGACAGCACACTGCATTACGCCATAGCACGCGCGAACAAAACGCGAGAATTGTCTGTCTCGTCGACGTCTGTTAGACCCACTCTGCTGCCGCGAGCATCTCGTGTCGTTGATCCTGGTGAGTCGACATCTGCCCACGACCACCGTGGTCCCATCGGGAAGGGCGATGGGTTCATGTCGCGAGTCGCCACTCACCAGCCAGCAGGACTGCATGGCACACCTGACCATCACACAGGCGCACACGAAAAAGCACAACGCAATGTGGATGGATACTCATTGAACGTCCGAGGCTCGTGCCTGCTTAGATTCTGAAAAAATTAACCCGTAAAAACTAAGTTTTTCACTATAAATCCTTTATATGCGTGGCATCGGTTTTATTTTATTATTCATTTCTGTTTTTCTTGAGTAAGAGTTTCATTTTTATCACATTGGTATTTTAAATTAAATATGAAATTTATTCTTTCCTAAAAAGTGGAAAATTTTGGGAAAAAATTTTCACGAAAATAAATTGTCACGCACAACGAGTCTGTGTGCAAAATGTCAGCTCGATTGGATCACGGGAAGTGGGTTAAAAAACGACCGAAAGATTTGCACGGTCGTAAGCGCGCAAGCAAGCAAGTGAACTTAATATAAAGGATTTAAAAAATGATGTGCACGATCCCGCGAGAATGAATGGAAAAATCTCATGAGCAGCAGCAGCAGCAGTTTCCCAGTAAACGTGGTGGTACACGTTGCATGTTTCCTGGGCTCGTCATGAGCAACGGTAACCCAGGCAAGGCACATCACCAATAACATTTGGCATCATCACCCAAATGGATCGCGTAATCTTGCCATAGGCGCAACCCTGCAATAGAATCGCTGTATCGCCCGTGACAGAATCGGAGGTGGAGAGAGGCTGTAAGTATCCTAGTGGCAGCACTAATCGGTACTCGCTAACGATACTCGCTTCTACAGGGCACGCAGGCCGGTATGGCTGTAAACCTGGAACCTCAACGAACTGCAATTTAAAACAGTCTGCCTCAGCAGTAGACCATGCTTTCCCACCTGATGATGGACGCTTGTGTTGCGCCCGAAACATCGTGATTTGATACCCACGTGACTTTACCGAAAGAACCAAAGAGAATTGCAATGGATTTGACTGACGGGTGGACATGCCGACCATAGCGCGAGGAGGTTTCAGTAAGTTGTAGGAGTACCTTGGACACTGTCATCAAACATCAGTGTGCTTCCCTCCAGAGCAAGTCATTATGAACATTATTTGACCGAATTGCACCGTTCTTGGCATAGATAGGGGACGTTCTTGCCATAGATAAAGACGTTCACGTGGCTCACACACAAGACCTCCTCGCTTTATCTAATCGTTGTGGATTGAGGCTCCAGCATCGTTCAACCCGACACCTTGACCAGCGCTCCGTGCTTTGGTAAGGGACTTGAAGGCTAAACACAATTGCACGATAATATAGGGGGGGTTGGGTTAGGCTTGCATAAATGTGTCGTTAAACCCGCCACCACCCGACACAGACCATTGGTAAGGTTTGTCACGTAAACAAAACGTGCAAATTCGTTACTAGTACAGCCACACACCACACAAACTATATTATGGATTGATATTGGTCGCGAAAGCCACCGTGTAAAACTGAAAATCTACACGAGTTTCAACGTCGCATTCGCTACTGCAATGTAAGGGTGACCCATGTACTGACACCGCACCGATGTTTCCCGAATCTCTGCACGAGCATGGCCAACGTTGAGGCAACAACCTTCGTTGGCCGTGCGTTCGAAACGTTGGACAACTGGCATAACAGCGTTCCGCGTTCACTGCGATTGTGAAAGCGATATGTAATCAATGCATTGAGATTGGTAGAAAGGGGAGGGGGGGATATGCATAAGCTTTTGAAATAACATGTTTTAATTAAAATTTATAGCGAATTCCAGCATGTTAGTGTGGGCCATCTGTACATGGATCAGTGTTTACAATTTGAGATGCAAGCCACCCACAAGCCAAGCGTGTAAACAACAAATAACACGTTTGGCATTATCAATTGCGATTTTTAAAAAACCGCGTGCTAGCGAACAACTCCAAGCAAAAGACGCGCTCGTAATAAACTAAACTAACGCACGGAGAGAGATAGATAATCTAACAATACGGAGCGAGGCTGTGGGGCCCCCAGCCACTACCACGTCAATGGTGGACCCCGAGACGCGCTTACAGTAACAGCACTGTACCTGGCTGTCGACAAGCGATTAAGAAACATTTATAAAGCTCGAGAGGAAACCCTTTTCCTCACGAGTTTGGGGGGGGGGGGGGCAAAACCCTGCCGCGGAGAGAAATTATATCGTGAAACACACAAATCCGTCACTTTTAATGGTACGCGGTTTTGCGCGGCGGGGCCCGTGACATCAGTGGCAGGGGGTGCACGCACGCACACGGATCTCTCATCATCATCATCATTCTCATCATCATCATCCTCATCATCATCATCCTCATCATCATCATCCTCCACCACCACATCTCATCATCACCACATCTCACCACCACCAGCAGCAGCAGCACCACTCCCACCCACGGCCGCGGAGTCGCAGCGAGAAACACGTGGGTGGTGGGTGGGGGTGGTGGTGGGGGGGGTGGGGGTGGGGAATGAGGTGGGGGTGGTGGTGGGTGAGGTGGGGTGGGGGTGGTGGTGGGTGGGGGTGGTGGTGGTGGATGGTGGTGGGGGTGGGTGGGGGATGGGGTGGGGTGGGTGGGGGATGGGGTGGGGTGGGTGGGGGTGGTGGTGGTGGTGGGGTGGGTAGGGGATGGGGTGGGGATGGGGTGGGTGGGGGGGGTAGTGGGTGGTGGTGGTGGTGGGGATGGGGTTGGGTGGGGGTGGGTGGGGGTGGTGAGGGGTGGTGGTGGTGGGGGTGGTGGGTGGTGGGGTGGGGGTGGTGTGGTGGGGTGGGGGTGGTGGAAGGGATGGGGTGGGGTGGGGTGGTGGTGGTGGGGGTGGTGGTGGTGGATGGTGGTGGGGTGGGTGGGGGATGGGGTGGGGTGGGTGGGGGATGGGGTGGGGGTGGGGGTGGGGTGGTGGTGGGTGGTGGGGGTGGGTAGGGATGGGGTGGGGGATGGGTGGTGTGGGGGTGGTAGTGGGTGGTGGTGGTGGGTGGGGATGGGGTTGGGTGGGGTGGGTGGGGGTGGTGAGGGTGGTGGTGTGGGGGGTGGTGGGGGGTGGGTGGGGGGTGGGTGGTGGGGGGGTGGGGGTGGTGGAAGGGGATGGGGTGGGGTGGGGGTGGTTGGGGGTGGTGGTGGGGGGGTGGATGTTGGTGGGTGGGGGTGTTGATGGGGGGTGGTGGTGGGGGGGTGCTGTTCTGGCCTTCGTAGGTGCTACTCGCTAACAGCACTTGCCCCAGCAGTTTGTTGAGGCTACACGGGGAATCTTTGTCTTTGGTGGGGGGTGTGGGGGAGTGTTGGTCGGGGGGGGGGCAGTTTCCCGGGAAAAAAAAAATCCCTCGCTCAGCCATTGGCTGACAAGCCGCGTGACGTCATCAGAACGCTCCGGCTGCAGCTGGTGGAGGGGGGGGGGTTGGTGGGGGGGGAGCTGATGGGGGTGGGGTGGGGGTGTGTGGGGCGGGTGGGGGTCTAGGGGAGTGTTGGTGGGGGGTGGGGGTAGGGGGTGGGTGGGTGGGGTGGGGTTATGTGGGGCGGGTGGGGGTGTAGGGGAGTGTTGGTGGGGATAGGGGGTGGGTGGGTGGGGTGGGGGTGTGTGGGGCGGGTGGGGGTCGAGGGGAGTGTTGGTGGGTGGTGTTGGTGGGGGGTGGGCGGGTAGGTCGGGGGTGGGGGCAGTTTCCCGCGAAAAAAAAATCCTCGCTCAGCCATTGGCTGACAAGCCGAGTGACGTCTCCAGAGTGGATTTCGTGGTTGTCGTCTCTGAACCTCGTGGCTTGACCCCGGGGTGCCGAATAAACGGAGTTCTAACTCGTCATGAATGCAGTGTTCATTGTTGGCGACTCCGTCCCACCGCGCACAAAACCCACCTAGCGCGGATCATTCTGTTGTCATGTCCAAGGGGCCGTCCATAAATGACGTCACGCGATTTTGGACGATTTTTGACCCCACCCCTCGTCACACGGCGTCACTAAAAGTCAGACCCCCCCCCTCCTCAAATATGACGTCACAAAGCTCTGCCCCCTCCCCCCCCAAAACAATAACAAGTAAACCCGCAAAAACAAAGTTTTTCACTATAAATCCTTTATATGCGTGGCGGCTAGAGTCCTCTCGTCCTCTGGCTTGAGATGGCTGCAATCTATGGGTCAGATGATTGTCTGCCAGTATTAAGCAATGGTTAATTAAATATTTCATTTGTTTTCCCTAAACAGTGTAAAATTTTGGAAAAATTTTTTTCACGAAAAGTAATTGTCACACAACGAGTCTGTGTGCAAAATGTCAGCTCGATTGGATCACGGGAAGTGGGGTAAAAAACGAGCGAAAGATTTGCACGGTCCTAAGCAAGCAAGCGAACTTAATATAAAGGATTTAAAAATATATTTGCCTGTGGAGGACGCGGGGATCGATCCCGCGACCTTTGGCATGGGAAGCGAGGGCGCTACCAACTGCGCTACTCCGCCACGGCCTGTGGAGGGGTTACGCTCTGGGCTCCTACACTGTGACGTTCAGCCAAAGCTATGAATGAGTTCTATTGGAATATATGTAAAATACTTTTTTTTGCCTAAAAAGTGTAAAATTTTGGGAATTTTTTTTCACGAACATTAATTGTCTCACACAACGAGTCTGTGTGGAAAATGTCAGCTCGATTGGATCACGGGAAGTGGGTTAAAAAACGACCGAAAGATTTGCACGGTCGTAAGCAAGCAAGCACGCAAGCAAGCAAGCAAGCACGCGAACTTAATATAAAGGATTTAAAAATGCTTCAAATCGCTTTAAACTATTGTCATTGTAGTGCGTGTTTAATGTGGCGCTGCACTCTGATGTAGGAGAAAACATTTATTAAAAAGTCTAATTAAATAGAACGTGTTGTCTATATTTATTTAAAGTTGTGCATTTTGATGTGACGTCACATTTCTCAACCCCCCCCCCCTCGTCACACATCGTCACAAATGTCCGACCCCACCCCCCCAGGTGCGTGACGTCATTTATGGACGACCCCTATGTCTTATCCAAAGTTGCTCAAACTGCCTACACGACTGACGTCCTTTATACGACGTACACGTTAGCCACTCGCTATAATAGAATTCTACAATTTATAACGCGATTCTAAGGCGTGGAGTGGAACTCAGTTTTCGGATCGCTTTGCGCGGTTCCAGCTTACGAAATGCGCCTTTTAGATGTGGTTTTGAACGAAGAAAACCATCGATCGTTACCGATGTGAATACGGGGGGGTGGTTTCGAGAAGGTTCTGCGACGCAAGATCCTCGTGACAACAACAATGTTATTCTTTGGTTCTTTCGGTAAAGTCACGTATAAAGAAAAAATAATAAATTAAATAATAGCATACGACGTTTCGATTGCAACACAAGCAATCATCATCAGGTATAATGAAATAGCGACATAAAATCTAGCCAGAAAAAATTATAGACAGATATCACCAAGATACACACAGCGGGCAACACAGGTACAGAGAGGGGTGATCGTCTCTGTGGGGTGGCCTTAAATAGACAGAGGGGGGCGGAGGCAGCGAGAGGGAGGGGATTAGAGACAACATTCACATGTCAATGAGTACAAAAAGAAGTGTTGACGTTGCAATTACAACGCGGACGATTGCTCGAGGGATAATTGTTCTGCCGTCGATTTGTTTGAGCTTCAGACATTCACGCGAGTGAGACCAACCCTTAAGAAATCCCGAAGGTATCATTAGACCTCCTTTGCCAGTACCAAAATATAATAATAAGGGGTTTCCCCCTTTTTTCTGGCAACAAAACTGAAACCTTTTTACGAGGATTCATGTCTGCATTAACCACAATACTTGCAGTCAGAATGCAAACAAAAAAACACACACTGATAATATATGCATTGGCCTTGAAACTGATTGGTCCACACCAGAGACAGCTTTCTAATGATGTTAATGGCTTACCCCGAGCCCTCATTACTTTTATAGTGCATTGTCTTTGAGTCATGCGCCTTTTGGCGTCATCTGGTCTAGCACCAATTGAGACGAGGCTCAAAAGAAAGCTGTCTCTGGTGTGGACCAATCAGTTTCAAGGACAATGCATATATTATCTTAGTGTGTTTTTGTTTGCATTTTGACTGCAAGTATTGTGGTTAATGCAGACATGAATCCTTGTAAAAAGGTTTCAGTTTTGTTGTCATAAAAAAGGGGGAAAACCCTATTATTATATCCCGAAGGTACTTTTGAATGCCCAGAGGCTCCAATGAGCATCTGTGCATTAAACATTCAAACCGAAGAATCCTGAAGATTTAGTGCCTTCGATCTGGCTCTGAACGTCAGTGGCGTCACGGTGGCTCGGAGATGTTAACTACCTCGCCTGGTATGCAGGAGATCGTGGCTTCGATCTCAACCCTGACGCCTGCTGTACATTTGGAGTTTGCGTGCCTCTCATCATCACCGTGGCGTGGAGATGTTAATTACCTCGCCTGTTCGATCCCGACTCTGCCGCCTGCTGAATATTTGGAATTTGCGTGTCTCTCATCAACGTGGCTTGGAGGTGTTAACTACCTCGCCTGGTATACAGGAGGTCGTGGGTTCAATCCCAACCCCCACGCCTGCTGTACATTTGGAGTTTGTGGTGTCTCTCTCACCCTGTGGACGCGTGGATTTTTCTCCGGGGTTTCCCTCCACGTGATAGGCCACTTCATTGAGGCTATCAATTGTGACCAGGTCGCTTCTGGGAAAAAAAAAATATATATATATATACCTCAGTGGGCCTTATCTGGGAAAATTAAAACAATTGTTTAGTTTCAATACCGATGTGTTATTACACTTGTTTGCCCAGCAAAGGGGTGCCGTGGTGGCGGCCTGGTATGCAGGAGGTCATGGGTTTGACCCCGACCCTTGACGCCTGCTGTACAGTGATCCCTCGTTGATCGCGGTTATTGGGGACCGGAACCCCTCGCGATGGGTGAAAATCCGCGAAGTAGGATTGGCCCCCTAGGAATTTCCGTATATGTGTGTGTGGGTACCAGAATGTTTAAAATATGTATATTTATACTTTATATATATTTTACTTAAATCTATTTAATTATAAAACCTTAATATTATACATTCTCTCTCTCTCTCTCATACGATACGTATTATGGTGTTCTACACTCACCAATGACAGTAGTATCTTGAGACTTGACTCCAGTAATGACGACGACGACAATGACGATGACAATGACGATGATGACAGACCTGTGCAGTTCGATGAATGTGATGATGAATGATGATGAGTGTGTTACTGCACAGGTATAATGAGGCCTTTAAATCAGTTCGAAAAATCCGAGATGCACTGAGGCCGCGAAACTTGAACCGCGAAGTGGCGAGGGATTACTGTATATTTGGAGTTTGCGTGTCTCTCTCCCCGTGGTCGCGTGGATATTTATGAGGGTCCTCCAACGCCGCCATGGTGGCTAGTAGATGTTAACTACCTCGCCTGGTATACAGGAGGTCGTGAGTTTGATCCCGACCCTGACGCTTGTTGAGTAATCTGCAGGTAGCTTTTAAGCATCGGAATGTTTTGGCCAACACCAGTTATATCGTTTCTTTAGCTATGGGAATCCAAAATAGGCCTCATTTTGGCTCTATGAGCTTGGGGCATTGATTATGTAATTCCAAGTCTAATTAATTATATAAGTGACTTTGTTTAACCTCTGAGCTTTGGGCTTTAACACTGAAGCATGTGACACCCAATGTTGCCTTAGATCGGCTCTGGCCTTCTAAATTGCAGCTTAAGCATTCAAACAGTTATTAGTATCTGTGGTCTTAAATTGTATAAATTTCTGTATTATTGTATACAGGACTTTCTCTCCGAGTGAGCCAATACTGCGCGTGTTACGAGTTTGAAGTTATATTTTTCTCACCGCAACACCAGCATATAATGAGAGATAATGTTACAAAATTAAACATATCTATCTATCCATACGGAGTGTAGAATTGAAACACCGCGGTCAAAAGGTCAACTTGATGCCATCTCATCTCGACGAGCCTGTGTTTGAGCCGCAACGACGCGTCCGATCACCCATGTTGTCACAAACGCGCTTGGGTAGGCGAATTTGAATCTCTGCGCCATGCTGGTGGCGTCCTGCACCGTAGGGCACACGCACACAAACACACACATGTAGAGTCCACGACACCGCGGGGAGCATCGGTCAACAGAGAAACCCACCCGTGTTTAGATGACTCGGCAAACATTGTGAACGACAACCGAGGCCAAGGCAAACACGCCGTCTGTTTGGCCACGATAAATGTCCACTCGACGCCCCCCATCCACCCCTTCAGAGAAGGGGGCCCGGCTAGTCCTATAAAATGGACCGGCAATTTGGACCAAAATGACATTTCCCGCTTTTCATCTTTCCTCCTGCACCAGTGGATATCGGTGGCTTCTGAGAGTGGCGCGCGCACACACACAAGCACACCTCCGATTAGCGCGGTTGGCTACGTACGGTGCGAAAGAAGTTCAACACACAAACGGGGGTGTTAGTGTCTCTCTCTCTGACCATGACGAACTTCTCGGGCACGTGGAAGCTTAAAACAAGCGAGAATTTTGAAGAGTACTTGCACATCCTGGGTAAGACGACCTTCCAAACTCGACACTCAAAACTACGATCCATATTGGGCGCAGCCAGGCTAGGACGCAGTTGAGTGAAGTGGCGGTGCAGCTTATGGAGCAGCGCTTGGATGGACTACATTTGAAGAAGAGTAGGATGGGCATGGTGTGGCTCGGCGTCTTGGCCCCAAAGAGGCACATTTTTTTGACAATTTTTTTTACTGAATTTGGAATAATTATCATGGCCCAGTACGCTTCTCAAACACGAGTTTTGTGGCCAGCAAAACCTTTCTGGCTTGTCTTTAATGTATATCTATGTGTGTATATATATGGGTCTTGATGATTTCTTTATGGGTAACTATGTGTCCCTTCTTGGTCTCCGTGTATCTCGTTGAGTCTGTATGTATCTCGATGGGTTTACGATGTGGTCCATAGTTTGGCTTGCATGGCCACAATCTCAACACCGTGGCTTGTGTCTTTATTTTTTTTGCAACTTGCTGACCCACCGCTATTGGACAACTGTGAAAAAAAGGGCTTCACCGCTCATCGGATTCCTCCGTCTAAATAAGAATTCTGATTCTAAACAGGCATGATAAAAGAATATAAGATTATAACCCGAGGAATCACCTCAACAGCCAACATGCAGGTGGAAGAGATATTTGTGTATTTGTGTGTCTGTTGTTTGTGAGGAGCGGCAGTGCAGCGATTAGCACGCTGTGCTACGAATCCGACGACCCGAGTTCGATTCTCGCTTACGGCTGACACCAGTGACGATTATCTGTACCGGTCCTGGGTCTACCCCTAGGTCGAGTCAGCTTCAAAATGAGTACCTAGTTCGGTCTATAAACATCGCCACCAGGGCGACAAGGGCGGCTAGGCGTGCCATTTCGGCCTGCATCGGTGCTACTGGCTAACATCACTTGCCCCAAACAGTCTGTTAAGGCTCAATGGGGGGATCTTTGTCTTTGTTGCAATGGTGTAAATGCTTACCCCGAGCTCTCATACTCTGATGGTGCATTGTCTTTGAGTTGTGCGCCTTTTGGCGTCATCTGGTCCAACACCATGTGAGACTAGGCTCTAAGGAAAGCTGTCTCGGGTGTGGACCAATCAACTTCAAGGACAGTGCACGTTATCAGAGTTATGTTTTTTGTTTGCATTATGACTGCAGGTATTGTGGTCTATGCAAAACATGACTCCTTGTAAAATAGGTGTCAGTTTTGTTGCCAGATAGAAGGGTAAAAAAAAGAATTATCATCTTTGTCTTTGTTGCAGGGGTCAGCCCCGTCACCAAGAAGATCTCCACCTGCTCGAGACCCACAGTCCACATCAGCCAGGACGGAGACAACTTCCACATCCGTGCAGCATCCTTCCGCACCGCCGAGAGCACCTTCACCGTCGGCCAGGAGTTTGAGGAGGATGGGCCATGGCAGGGCCTGCGGCTCCGGGTGAGGGAAGTGGGTGGCGAGGAGCAGAGGTCGCAACCGGGTACCCGATACCCGTACCCTACCCGATACCTGGCTACCCGTACCCGGCCGGGTACGGGTACGGGTAGCCGTTTGCGCGACCCTGGTGCGGCCGGGTACGGGTACGGGTAGGCCGTGAGTCACTGGTGAGTAACTGTTTGTCACTCATTTCGGGTAGGGTACGGGTAGGGAACGGGTACCCGTACCTGGCCGGGTACGGGTACGCGTAGCCGTTTGCGACCCTGGTGCGGCCGGGTACGGGTACGGGTAGGCCGTGAGTCACTGGTGAGTAACCGTTTGTCACTCATTTCGGGTAGGGTATGGGTAAGGAATCAAAACCCGTTTGCGACCTATGACGAGGAGGCATGGGTCACCTCACTTGCATATAATTAGCGTGAACTGTTTTCAAGTTTATTTTGTTTAACCAAGTGATACCTCGTAGACGCCAGGGTGGTCGTGTAATTTACAAGGGTCACCTCGGTGACCACAATGCCAAAAAGCCATCACGAAATCGGAACGAAAAGAACCGAACAGACATCGTAGCAAAAACAAATCAAACGATATTACAGAATATGAGCCATTACCCCCCTATTACATTGCATGATCGAGAGTTGACAATATATAACGAGCAAACAGGAGGTACATCCATTCCTCAACGTAAGATAACAAATATGCTTGTTCATTATATTATGGGCCTTTGATATTGTTGTTTTGCAACGATTCTTAGTTAATTAGGCAAACTCTGGACCAATTTTCTCCGGTTACTCTAATTTCTCCACACTTATGCCATTTTCCTCCTAGATGGCAATCACATGCCAAAGGAATTGACAAAATGCAGAACCTTATTAATAAATAATTAGCATTTACAGCCCATTGTCAGTCCACTGGTGGATCAACATCTCCCCACTCTGTGTCGATCACGGGGGCTGTTTAACCCTACCTCACTGTACTGGTCAGTACAGGGTGATGAAGTGGGGGTCTCAGGACAAGTTAGGATATTGCTCGCTACTGATATTAGCTGTGGCCAGGAATCAAACTTACGTTGCGGGGTTCATACTCCACTAACACTTCACTCACTCATTATTACTATTATTGATCACCGCCTGTGATGGGTGATGATGATTATCATACTCTTAGTTCTTTCGGTAAATTAATACAAAATAAAAAATCACGACGTTTCGGAGGCAACACAAGTCTCCGAAACGTCGTGATTTTTTATTTTATTAATTTTAATTAGATTTTTTACCTACGTGACTTTACCGAAAGAACTAAGAGTATGAATCCTTGTAGTCACGAAAACTTCAAATCTAGAAATGATCATCATCACGGACTTCCGATTGGGCAATGCAGCAGCTGATTCCATCACCCCGTCTCTGCGCTGGATGTCCTCTTGGGCTTGTACCCTCCCTTGGCCGCCTTTCCATCGTTATTCTCTCCTTTCTGGCGACATGTCCTGCTCAAGCCCACTTACTTTATTATTATTATTGTTCTTCTGTATTCATTGCTCTATCTCAGTCTTTGCCTTCAGTCCCGTCAACGCTGCATGTCTTCCCCTGCGTGTTGACGTACAAATGCACCGCCGTCAGAGCCTGGTGAAATGGGCCGGGCCGGGGAAGTTATCGTGCGTCCAGAAGCCGGTTTCCGGTGAAGGTCAACCCATCTTCTGGACCAGAGAGATCGTCAACGGAGACCTCGTGCTTGTAAGTGCCGCTGCACCGTGAAATCTGCTGGATGAGGGCCACCCCAAGCCACGCAGGTCACGGGGGTTGTTTGACCATACCTCTCCATGCTGATCAGTGTGGTGTGGTGTGGTGAAGCATAGACACTGTAGCATAGTATGGTACAACTGATTTACTGCACTGCCCTCAGCAGCCAATAGGAGCATGTCTTGATGCGTATTAGTCACTCGTCCAAGCACTATCCAGCCTTGACGCTGGTTAAATTCTCATAATTCATGAGGTGGGGCATGTTCGGGTTGATTTTGGTCACAGGCAAGTGAAATAGACAGCAAAATCAACACAGGAATAGCAACACCAGCACTTTTCGATGGTGGAAAACATCATTATGGAAAAATGGCACGTCGACCTAAAACATTATTCCGGATGTTTCAGTTGTTCAGCGTTATCCAACTGCCAGCGACTCCTCTATAAATGTATTCAGCATGCACGCAGTGACCCATCCATTATCTATGCCCGTGATACATGCACCAACCCGAATTGATTCGAGTTGGTGCATGTATTTTCAATTCCGATGCGTTGTATGTAATAGGTTTACATGACCCCTGCCAAGGCCGGATGCTCCACAATGAAAACGACTGTTGATTTGAAACACGATGGTGGACGCGGGGAGGGCATGCCGCTACACGCTTTTACAAATGAGCAGTGCCTCCGCAATCCCCGCCTCCTGCCCTGTGCCGCAGAATCTGACCTTCAAGAACGTGTCGTGCTCTCGTGTGTTCGTGAGGACGCAAGAGACGGCGCTGTGACGACGCCTTCGAGGAAGAAACGAACCACCCTGACTCCATCGGCTCATACTGCAAATCTTCTCAACAATAGGAGTGTTCTTCTTGGTACTTTCGGTAAAGTCTTTGGGTAAAGTCACGTAGACCTAGGTGACTTTACCGAAAGAACCAAGAAGATGAATCCCTGCAGTCACGAAAGCTTTAAATCGAAAAATAGGAGTGTTTTATTTGATTGTTTCAAGATCGCGCATTTTCGAGGAGGATAGCACGGTGGTAGATGCCTTATCGCAGCACTGAGCCAGCTTTGTTGACATCCTCGGTTCGAATGCAGTACCTCTTTTTCCAGCGTGTGGGACCCTCACGGTACGGGTGGTTTTCCACGGGGCTATTTGCCGAGCCAAGCCAGAGCCAAATCGAGATGCTCTGGCCTTACGAGTCATCTGAATACAACTTGGGGCCAAGCAGGGCCAGGAGTTGTCGTACTAAAATTCTGCGTGTGTGACGTCAGCGGGCAAGGCTCGGCTTCTGCAGTGGGAGAACAAACCCAGCGCCTCTCGGCACGACCCTGGCGAGGCTCAGCTGTAGGATGGAAACGACGTAGCGGGGTCGGCCCACCCGCAATCAAAATCTGGCTTGTCAAGTGCAGTGAGCTGATGTAACTGCAACAACAACAACATATTTCAGTGTTAATTTTGGTTTGCCGCTTAGTTTGACATATTCCAGCTGCGGGAATACAATGTTGTTGGTCCGATCGACATGTGAAGAGCAAATCTAAGTGTGGATGGATAAAAATAAGTAATATTTTTAAAAAATAACTTTTTTTAAACACGCTTTTATTAAATGTACTGAAATGTAGGAAGTGACCCCGAAGCTTGCCATAACGTAAGGGACCGTGGACAATTAGACCCAAGCCGAAACATAACGTATAAAAAATGTTTAAAAATATAGATTTTGTATTTTTTCAGTACGACATAAGTATACCAAGTTTGCAGTCGATACCACAATGGAAAGTGGTTTAAAATTGAATTACAAGATTTGAGGATACAACAACGACAACAGAGAGAGTGAGTTAAAAGAAAGCGTGTAAAAAAAAGACCCCCATTGAAGGTACTTGAGATGTAGCTGCCATTCTCTCACACTAGGTGGTGCACTGCTTGCTGTGAGAATTTTAAATGTAAATATATTCCTCTCACGACGTGACACTGGCTGTGCAATAGGAATATAATTTCCAATAAGAATTAAAAGAAAATGTTGGCACCCAAACTCCTTCCAAGGCTTAACTTTGTTCCTGATCAATTCCGCGGTGATCGTGAAAATCGTGAAAATCGTGAAAATATGCACTCGGTCGACGCGCGCAAAACAATAGTTTTCGAACGAGTTGTTATTTATTGCTTCAAAACGCATTCGTGTCATTCAATACCGCAGAAGATAGGGGAACAACAAGGGATTTAAAACACGAGCTAGGAAAAAAATAATCCGCCACGCATGGATTGTGCGACGCTTTCCATTCCGCGTTTGTCTCCTCAATTGGTTTTTGTTTGGCAATCTTTCAAATCAATTTGGCCGGCTTTCACAACAATAAGTTCCCAATCGCAACACAGTGTCGCACTAACGTTTGGTTCGTATGATTGGATCATGTTAACGAGAGATTATAGTGTCCTCCTTCGGCCCAGGATGGGCAGAGCAAGGGCATGAACGCCTTCAGCCCGAGTTGGAAAGCATACACAATAAAAAAATTTAACCGTAAAAACAAAGTTTTTCACTATAAATCCTTTATATGCGTGGCATCGGGGCGGCTAGAGTCCTCTCGTCCTATTGCTTGAGATGGCTGCCACCTATGGGTCAGATGATTGTCTGGCAGCATTAAACAATTGGTAATTAAATATTTTTTAAAAATTTCCCTAAACAGTGTAAAATGTTGGAATTGTTTTACGAAAATGCATTGTCACGCACAACGAGTCTGTGTGCAAAATGTCAGCTCGATTGGATCACGGGAAGTGGGTTAAAAACGACCGAAAGATTTGCACGGTCCTAAGCAAGCAAGAGAACTTAATATAAAGGATTTAAAAAGTGTTTCATTTTAAAACAAGCACAGGGGAGGTGGTACCTCATCTCCCGTTAACAGCTTTGTGCCAGTGTCAGAGAATCCACATTCCTATGGCAAGGGTGAGTAATTCCAAAAGTCAAAATAAAAAACTTGAATTCCCAGAGAGTGGTACTCATGATGTTTGCCCTGGCTGATTGAAGGTCAAGAGTAAAAAAATGTGAACTTGTGACCTTTTGATTCCACAATATCGGCTCTGGCCACTGCACGAACCGCTGATGAATGTGGACTCCATTGGCCATTCCACAATGATAATATGCTGTACTGTAGTATTGCCATTAGTATTATTATTATATTACTGCATTCAGAGTGACAATTGAAGAAACAATCAATACCCTTTGGTTCTTTCGGTAAAGTCACGTAGGTATAAAATAAAATAAATAAAATCACGACGAATTTTTCTTGCTGTGTTTTTCCCACCTGATGATGATTGCTTGTGTTGCAATCGAAACGTCGTGATTAAATGTATTTTATTTTATACCTACGTGACTTTACCGAAAGAACCAAAGAGTATGGATCCCTGCAGTCACGAAAACTTCAAATCTAGAAACAATAAATATTAGAAATAACGATAAAGGTTATATTGGTAACATAATTCCGAAGTAAATAATATTTTGCCATTCAGACGCTGTCTTTCCGACAGACCTGTTCTTCACCTGAGGACGGCTGCTTGCGTTGTGGCCAAAACGTCGTGAGAATTATTTTATTATGTTTTATTTTATTATTTTATTATTTCCATTCTACGTGACTTTACCGAAAGAACCAAGAAGATGAATCCCTGCAGTCACGAAAGCTTTAAATCGAAATTTTGTAAATAATTATTAAATAAGTCATGGTTATGGTAACCATATAACACTATAATGCGCAAGCTTTGTTATTCCATCGCTCGATGAAGGCCTCTTCATTACGGTTTTTTGACCGTACTGGTCAGGTGAAGTGGGATGCTGGGATCCAGCTCAGATATCGCTCAATCACCGCTGTGAGCCATGGTTGGGAATCCAACTCGAGTTAGCGGGTACGTAGCACAGTGCGCTAACCACCGTGTGCCAACATGCCACAACAACAACAGCAGCCGGAGTTAGGGAAGGGATCAACTTTTGCAATATCTCTGAATCCGAGACAAGTTATATAAAATGGCATGCCCTTATCAGATACGATGTCAAAAGAGTTCATTTAAATCAGAAACGAGTGAGGCCGATTTTTCCCCTGACTTTTTCATTGTAAGAGTAAGCAGTTTCAGTTGTGTACGAGTCGCAGTCGTGTTCATTGCATTAAAAACTGGGCCGGGAGGCAAACTCTGGTCACCGGTTGCATAGCGCAGAGTGCAAGCACCACCGCTCCCCGCAAAATAACGATGGACGCAAGGCAAAAAAATTATTTCGGTATTAAATATTTAGATTGAACATATTTTGCGCTCATGGTTTCTCATTCAGTGAAACATTGACCTGACAAAAACACAACGAAGCGTGCTTTCTGGGGTAGAAGATCACCGTGTACAAATCCCGTGGCTGTATTTGTATTTGTGGCAACGCATGAAACGGCTAAATGACCCCATCGCATTGCGAGTTGGTCACCGTGTTCTTGTGCCCGTTGTGAGCGGAAAACATTCGTCAAGTAAATATTCGACCTCCGTTGGTTACAGACCATTTGGGAAATTGACGTTCGCGAGCCACCTAATTTGGCCCGGTACACCACATGGGGTGATGAAGATATGAAACGGAAGGTCATTTTGCAAATGTTTTACCCAATATGCACTAAGACAGTAGCCGGTGAAGTTTTGTACAATATTATGTTTTTTTAAAGCTGATGGCCTACGGTGTACAGAGTGCACTTGCTAGTAACGTTTGACAAACCAGTAGTTTTTATTTTATATCAAGCCTGGCTCTATCTTGATTTGAAGCTTTCGTGACTGCAGGAATTCATACTCTTTAGTTATTTCGGTAAAGTCACGTAGGTATAAAAATAAAACAATCACGACGTTTCGATCGCAATACAAGCTGCTGGATTAAGTTTTTTTCCACCTGAGGACGACCGCTTGTGTTGCGATCGAAACGTCGTGATTTACTTGATTTTTTATTCCTACGTGACTTTACCGAAAGAACCAAAAGTAAGTCTGGCTCTCTTGCTGAGATCAATAAGGTCGAAACCAAGTCCAGAGATAAATTGCTGAAACAAATATTTTGCTGAATAAGCAACAGGCTTGAAGATAAAAAAATAAAAACGTTTTCTTTTTCATTGCATAAATAAAACGGAGGTTTGATTACTCATTTCAGTACAAGTCTTTCCCATATCTATCCTGTTCTTCACCTGAGGACGGCTGCTTGTGTTGTGGCCGAAACGTCGTGAATATGTTATTGTTTTATTTTAATTTTATTATTTCCCTTCTACGTGACTTTACCGAAAGATCCAAGAATATGAATCCCTGCAGTCACGAAAGCTTTAAATCAAGATAGAGCCAGGCTTGATATAAAATCAAAACTACTGGTTTGTCAAACGTTACTGGCAAGTGCAAGATCCAAGAATATGAATCCCTGCAGTCACGAAAGCTTTAAATCGAAAAATGAAAAAACGTGTTTTACACATCCCATTCTGGGGGCGCGTAATTTTAGCAGCATTGGTTTAACACAAAGCCAACTGTGTGCCGATTTCAACATTTATCATCTCATCAGCAGAGCCAGGGCTTGCTTGAGCCAATGCTGGTGAGCTGCCAGCTGTTTTCAGACAGTTTATTTTCGTTGAACCAATTTTGATGAAATGTCGCCCTCCCTGAAATCCGTGTGGCTGACGGGATGTTATTTTTAAATCATTTATATTAAGTTCGCTTGCTCACTTGCTTGCGTGCTTACGACCGTGCAAATCTTTCGGTCGTTTTTTAACCCACTTCCCGTGATCCAATCGAGCTGACATTTTGCACTCAGACTCGTTGTGCGTGACAATGTATTTTCGTGAAAAAAAATTCAAAAATTTTACACTATTTAGGAAATGTTTTTTTATATTTAATTACCAATTGCTTAATGGTGGCAGGCAATCATCTGACCCATAGGTGGCAGCCATCTCAAGCCAGAGGACGAGAGGACTCTAGCCGCCACGCATATAAAGGATTTATAGTGAAAAACTTTGTTTTTACGGGTTAATTTTTTTTGTTTTAAGTGGAGGGACAGACATGGGAAGGAGGTGAATCGCCTGCTTATTTATTGTCACCGATATCCCCCACAACGACATCGACCGTGTTACATTTCAGTAACGCGCTCATTTCGTTTCGTCGTCTCATCTAACATGACCTGGAACACCGAGTCAAATTACCTGCAAAGGAACACGGGCAAAGCGGTGTGTTTCGCAAGAACTCCACACTGGGGGTTAAACATTACCTTCTGTACGCAACATTGCTTCAACTGGTGTCCTTCATTAACCACACGGGACCCTGCAAAACAAGTCACCGTTGCACGGAGACTTGTTTTGGTTTGAGGTATAGTTGTTGGAAGGTGGCCTGGCAGGAGTTAGAGCACCCGAGCTCAGAGTCCTGTGAGTACGGTATCATAACGAAATGGACAACAAGAGGAAAATTAAAAGTGCGTTGTTGTTGCTGTTGTTGATGGAAGCGGAAAGAGAGAGAGGAAGACCTAACAGAGAATGGCTTGACCGACATCATAATAAGAGATTGGTGTTAGAAGAATGTGCACCACTTGAGCATATTGGCACAAGACAGAGGAAAGTTCAAACAAATGACCAGTGTTTAACACGTAGGCTTTCGCGACCAATATCATCCACAATAGTTTTTTTGGGGTTAGATCGCGTAAATATATAAACGTGTTGTTACAATGTGAATGTTGTGGCTTGGCTCTCCAACACACCGGTGTAGTGCTGTACTAGTATACTACACTATACACTACACTATACACTACACTATACACCAGGGGTGTGGACTCGAGTCATGTGACTTGGACTCGAGTCAGACTCGAGTCATGAATTTGATGACTTCATACTCGACTTGGACTTGCATAACAATGACTTTGTCCCACCTCTGAGGTGTGGACTCGAGTCATGTGACTTGGACTCGAGTCAGACTCGAGTCATGAATTTGATGACTTCAGACTCGACTTGGACTTGCATAACAATGACTTTGTCCCACCTCTGCTATACACTACACTATACACTACACTATTATACACTACACTACTATACACTACACTATACACTACTAGTGCTGTACTCGTGACGAATTGGCCACGTTCTGTTTACGTGACAACCCTTACTAGTTGGCTGTGGCGGGTGGTGGCGGGTTTTAACGACACATTTATATATTTACGCGATCTAACCCTAAACACCTCTATTATGGACAAATGACGAAATGTGCAGTGCACACCTACGGGCTAGAGGCACATGGGTCGTGATGATTATAACGAGTTCATCCTGGTCTGAGTCCGGTTACCAATAACTGCATGAAAAAACCCCATTCGATAAAAAAATTACTTAATTTGGAAAAAATAAAACTCTTAGGAATTACGAATATTATTGAAACCACTGAATGATGAACATTTCTCTGCAGCAGGGCATGTGGAAAAGCGCAGTCCACCTCCACTGTGGCAAAGAAAGGGATCTCGAAAGTTGATCTGTGATGTCTTTCTCAAGCACACAAGGCGATGCCGTGTGCCCGCGTGAGAGTTGGCGTGTAAACGATTGCATGATATTGCTTCCAGGAGTACAATGGGAATACAATTCGTCGACGACAAAATTATACAACAATTGATAATTGGTTTTTTTACCCTTCTATCTGGCAACAAAACTGACACCTTTTTTGTTACAAGGAGTCATGTTTACATAGACCACATTACCTGCAGTCATAATGAAAAAAAACACAACTCTGATAATGTATGCACCGTCCTTGAAGTTGATTGGTCCACACCCGAGACAGCTTTCCTTAGAGCCTAGTCTCACATGGTGTTGGACCAGATGACGCCAAAAGGCGCATACATTGTGTTTTTTGTTTGCATTATGACTGCAGGTATTGTAGTCTATGCAAACATGACTCCTTGTAAAAAAAAAGTGTCAGTTTTGTTGCCAGATAGAAGGGTAAAAAACCCAATTATCATATTTTCACTGGCAAATGAGGTTCCAATGGTATACAACAATTAAAAAAAAAGTTTTGCTGGCTGGTTGGCTGGCTGTCTGCCTGCCTGGCGAGCCACGCGTCACCCAGCGCCAGTTCTGATCAGTTGGAGACCATTCGCCACCCACCACGCAGAGGGCAGGGGGGGGGGTGTACTCGTACACGAGTACTGATTCAAGCGTGTGCGCCGTTGAACAATCCAAGTGGATGAGTAGCAAGCGCAGTGACGGACGCGACCATGTGCTTTCTCAAGAAGGACTGCGATGCGAGGGTTGGTGGCGGTGAGCGTGCGTGTGGGATTGGATATACGGACGAGGCGGAGGGAGGGCATTGAGTGGGTCACACAGCCCTAGAATGTGGGATGGGGGGGAAGGGCAACAGGGGTTGATATCTGCTCCGGTCAGGACTCGCCAAAGCCATCGGCAACTGTGACCGGACAAAATGAATTCAAATGGCCAGGACGCAGCTGACGGGTAATGCATTGCAACGTGTGTACGTAATTCTCGACGCGATGCGTGTGATAACATTTGTTGCTTGTATGATGAGCTGTGTTGGCACCGGTTATCTACGACTGCTGTGTAATTGATGATCAAGCGCACTGCCTTGCGCTGTCTTGTGTCTGTTCTTGAGGCTCTCTAAATGTTTGTGACACCGCATCCAGGTCCGCTGCTGTGAGAGGTGTCTACTTAACACCGCGCGTGCAGGTGTCGTCACGTGTGTGCCGAGCATGTGCCGCTTGACAGCCTGGACACCCGTGCAAGTGAGACGTTCCATCTGGAGAAAATATCCAGGGGAATATTAAAAAATAAACGAAATAGTTAAAGTAACACAAAAACAAAGCCCGAGGCAGGGGTAAAGGTGAACTTAAGATTTTGATGACGACTTTTATGCTGCTCCACACAACTCGTACATATAATCTACCTGCCAGGGATATATTCCCAGACGGTTAATTACGCTCTGGCAACAGCTGATTTATGCCAAGAACAGCAGGAAACACATCAATACATCCTGAAGGGGCATTTGATGTTTTGCCACAAAAGTTGCGACAACAGCGTACATGTTGAATGCGACCGACTTTCATAAATCACAGCCCAAACTCAAGGCATTTATTTTCAGGCAGTGTACAAATATAGCTCAAGTTAAGGGGACGATAATATTCGGGAGAGTGGTGGTGTCAAGCCCAGCATCGTCCTTCAGTGTACCGTCGTTTATTTATCGTTTTAAGCGAGGCATAGACGCGGCAAAAAACGTCATATTCAGTTGAGATTATGTCGCTTTAACATACCTGTCAAGCCATTCGGTTTACCAGTATTCTTGTACAGGGTAATTGAGTATTTCAGGTCCATATGGCATGAAGCCGTTTCAATACGGGCAAAACATCTTGTTTGTTGTCTAATTGTTTGTGTTTCTTCCTTGTGATGGGAGACTTTGTAAGATGAACGTTGATATTTATAAGGTCACGAGGTTACCAATAATGTCTGCATTGGTCTGTACTAAGTTAGGCACTGATCAGGGGTTGACAGGTATGATTTAACGTCATATAAAGCCGAAAAAAATATAAGTGAACTTTTAAAAATGAAACATTATCGGCAATGGGCGATATTGCCTTTTTCATGTGTTTTTATAAATTATCTACAATTGGTTGTTGTGTGTGTGTTGAACTTGTTAAGCACCGTACGTAGCCCACTGTGCTAATCGGAGGTCGCTGTGTACACTGCCCATGCTGAACAGGTATTTGTTTTTAAAGTCGTGTATTCGGTCCGCAATCCGCTGCCTTCCTGATAATTCACCTCTCAAATTCCACTTTGCTGTACGTGTACGTATGTTGAATGTTCTTTCGCACCGTTGCTTGCAGTGCATTGAAAATATACTGACACATAGAGTAATAGCAGTGAACACTTTACAGCACATAATTGTGTTAGAAATCATGCACGGTATCATTTTTGTTCGAAAACATTTAATCAAACAACAATGGCAATATTACGTGCCTGGTCTTGTCCGATGTTGGAATCGATGCAACTGAGCCTGGCTCATATTTGAATGACCACCAGGTTTTGTAGGTATAGAGTGGCGAAGCATCTAAGCAACACAGGTGACCGGATCTTGAAATCCATTGCGTGGAGCTTTGAGCGTTAGGCTCTCTCAAATGATTGGTGGCTTTCCTCCGGGTTCTCCGATTTCCTCCCGCAAGAAGCCAAAAGACTTCAAAATAAAATTGGCCAAACATCCCACAACGCATATCCCTCCGGGGGAAAAAAATAAGTCTTGAGACTCAGTGAGGCTTTATCCTTGGTAAATAAAGGGCATTATTGTTACTATTATAAGACAACTGGCAGCGCTGTAAGTGGGTCACTGCGAATGGAGCCAATGAGGTTTGGGGTTACAGGTATTAATAGAGTCGGGGCATGGGTAGAGAAAGGGCGAAGGAAAAACAGGGATGTGCCAGGGGAGAGCCTCGTTAGGTTCGACGTAAAACCACACTTCTGCGGCCGTCTGGAATGCTCTTCGGAAGCAACTGGATCTATGCACTTTTAAATCTAGATTGAAAACTCATTTCCGAAGAACTGCTTTTTGTGGTTTGTTTTTTGTCCTTCCCCGCATCTCCTATTCACACGGTTGGCTACGTACGATGCGAAAGAAGTTCAACATACTGGACATATAAAACGCGTCTGCATAGTACGACGGGCGCATTTGCAAACGGAATTGCACAACGTACTTTGGCACGGTGTACTGTGGATCAATGTCCAAACAAAACCCCTTCCAGAGACTGCAAGGTCAAAAACTTGGTGCATTAAATCGACTATATTAAGGCCTATGACCCAGTTACACTGCGTCTGGCTACATCGCCCCCAATGCTTCGAACGACGACGTCTGGGCACTCTTGCAAGTGAGTCTATTCCTGGTCTCTTGAGATGCCACCCTGGTTAAACAAAATAAACAACACGTAAAACCCTACGACCAAATTACCTTAAAATGTGCATGTAATCTCATCATGATGTCAGTTTAACACGTAGGCTTTCGCGACCAATATTATTCATAATCAACGTTTTTGGGTTTAGATCGCGTTATTTATAAATGTGTCGTAACGGGAGACAGAGCAGAGCCTCACCATTCTGGCGAATTGCCCGATGATGCTGGATGCAATTACCAGCGAAACGTCGTACTACTCAAAAATTGTAAATGTTGTGGTTTCACGCTTCAACACACCGGTGGGCTAAAGCAGTGAACTATTTGTCTTTTGTCAACGTGACACTTTTTTACTGATTGGCCGTGTCGGGTGGTGGAGGGTTACGACAGATTTATAAATAACGCGATCTAACACTCAAAAACGTTGATTATCATCATGATGTCTTAGAAGCCAAGCAGTTTGGGCCTGGATAGCGCTTGGATGGGCGACCACAATTCCACGCCAGACTCTCGTTTACTCCTGCGGGCTGTGTTACGTGGAGACAGACAAGGGGGCAATGCAGAAACTCCATTGCTGTACTGTACTTCTATGCTTCAACCCGCAATAAACGGCACGGTGAAGTACCGTCAAATTTACTCCGTGACCCGCAAGGCGTCGTAAGGCAGTAGATTGACAAAAGGGCTGAACGTGTCCATAAGTACTTTGTGCCTGGGAACATGTATGCAGCAATTGCAGCATGCAGCATGTTTCGCTGCGGTATTGCATAGAGGCTCTTGCGTGCAAATGCAGAACCATGTAGAATACGACGTTTCGATTACAACACAAGCAACCATCATCAGGTACAAATGAATGGCTTGCCCGATCTGACGAGACCGGGCACATTTAGGGGCGATTTGGCCGCACGCCATCTTGGATTCAAGACTGGGGCCTACGGGGCCGAAGGTTGATGCCAGTGTCACGGCTTTTATTTCGTGGAAAAACCAAAAAAATTACAATTGGAATTCGCTATCAGTCAGCGTTTAGACATTTAATGAAAATTGCCATTTTAAACATTTACATGCGACCAGTTTCAAATTGGAAAATGTGTGCCACGGTGGCGAAATATTAACTACCTGGCCTGGTATGCAGGAGGTTGTGTGTTCTCCCCGTGGTCGTGTGGGTTTGTCTCCGGGTCCACCGGTTTTTCCCTCCACATTTAGAATCAACATGACGCGTTTAGAGTATTTAGCTGCTATACGTTTCCACACGATGAGCCACTTCGTTGAGCTATCATTTGTGGCCAGGTCGCTTCTGAGCTATGTCGCTTCAGTGGGAGCTTACCTGGTAATTTTTTTTAATGTTTAGTTTAGTTTAGAAATACGACCAAGTCCTCGGACCAAGGGCAACCCGAGATTTGAGAAGATGTCCTCGAGCCGTCCTAGGAGGGAGAGAGGGTGGAGTGGTCCCAGGGCACGAGGTTTGGTCATTTAGGCATCGGCAACGTGGCCCTTCCCGACCCTGCGACTCCTGCGTGCGAAAAGCGTGCAGGAGGCCCCCCCGCCGCCGCCGCCGCTCGCCGGCGAAAACGGCCTCGCCAAGCCCGACCTCTCGGCTCACGATGCCTCCGCGTTGCTGCACCGAGTCTACGGCCTGCGGGTCAGTCGCCACGCCGACGTCACGCCGCTGGAGAGCTACGAAGACCAGAACTTTTGCGTTCTGCCCGACGGGGCCGATAGCGGCGGCGGCGATGGTGGTGGCTACGTCCTGAAGGTGTTCAGCTTGGGCGAGAGAAAGAGTCGCGAGTTTTTGCTCCTGCAGTCCGAGGTGATGGCGTTCCTCCGCAAGCGAGGATTTCCAGTGCCGGAGCAGGTGCCCACGCTGAGAGGGGAAGTTGTGTCCATGGAGATCGTGGGTGAGAGCCGCGCTCCGCTGATGGCAGGAGCGAACGTATAACGGGCACACGCGCGCCGGAGATGTGCCCAAGTGGCCGAGGGCACTGATATTGCCACGGTGAATTGAGCCGCCACCGTTTGAGAGACGCTGGGTGTGAAACCAGGCCTCAGCCACTGGTGATTAGAACGAGTTTTACAAGTGTTGTGACGAGTTGATGGTCTCATCCTGGTCAGCAATGACCGCATAAATAAGATTTTTAAAAAAACATTTCTTCTTATATCTCTCGGAATTAAAGATATTTATTTCAATTGACGTGTGATGAACACTGCAGAAAATATGAAGGGTGTGACCCTATTGTTGAATGAAGAGGCCCACTGAGTAAGTTCATAAGAGAGTTATGTGATGCCATCTTCTGGGGTCATTCTCGGAAACAAGGTGGTACACCGCTAGCTGAGAGGGTTCAAAGCGGACATTTATTTTTCTACTAGCGGGAAGTACCCGGTGTTGCCCGGGCGAAAAAGACACACACACACATCGACTTACACACACACATCGACTCACAGACACACATCGACTCACACACACATCGACTTACACACACAGACACATTGATTTACACACACACATCGACTCACAGACACACATCGACTCACACACACATCGACTTACACACACAGACACATTGATTTACACACACACATCGACTCACACACATACATACATCGACTCACACACGCATATTGATGCACATACACACATCGATGCCCACACATCGACTCACACAGACACATCGACTTACACACACACACACATCGACGCACACACGCACATCGACTTACACAGACATCAACTTACACACACAGACACATTGACTTACACACACTCATCGACTCACAGACACACATCGACTTACACACACAGACACATTGACTTACACACACTCATCGACTCACACACATACATACATAGACTCACACATACACATCGACGCACACACGCACATCGACTCACACGCACACATGGACTTAGACACACATTATTATTTTAATATTTCCTAACTGAATATTTTCTTTTTAGTTTTCTGTCTACGTGAGTTTAGCGAAAGAAACAAGAAAATAGTACTTACTTAACAGTGCCGTGGTGAGGCTTAGTCCCGCGCAGAGCCTCCGGCCTCGCCTAGATTTCCCAGCCAGCCGAGGTGGCACCTTAGCAGGCTGGGCCTGGGCTGCTACCCCCCCCTACCCACGATCCCCCCGCCCGCTCTGCCGTAGTATCTACGGCCTATAGTAGTAGCATCTACCGACTCTATAGTAGTAATTGCACACATTGGGGTGGGGGGGGGAGAAGAGGACATCACACTGTGAAGAATTGACCTCAGCATTTTGTGAATTTTATTGCATTTTTAACGCGAATGACAATTCCCCCCCTCCACCGATCGCGCGTGTGCGTTGCTAGGGGCATGCGCGAATGCGTGCTTTGGCGCGCGCCGAGCGGCGTAAGTAAATAAATAAATATTATGAAATAGCACTCAATTGTTAATTTAACTACTTTAAATTTGACGGATGGTGAAATGGAAGAGCGCTGGCTCACCACGGGGCTTATGGCGTGATACCTGGATACTTTTTGTAGTCATAAACCCCACAGTTTGCGAGCCAAATCCTTCGCAAAGTTTCGTCCACAGACAGACACCCAGACAGACAGACGGACAGACAAAAATTTACATTTATAGGTAAGAAATTATTGGAATATACAATCATTTCTAGTACACTACCAGCTTTCAGCGTGCCGAACAAAAAAAGTATTCGTCTAATCATGATACTAAAGGATAATTGGAAAATTCTTAGGAATAACAATGACGACAATAATGTGATAACTGCAATCTGTAGAGCATCATGGCACACCACATGGAGTATACTGCTTGCTATGGCTGCGGCTATTGGTCACAGTGACACCTCCTCCAGTTTACCAGTGACTTGAAAAATGTCTGGCAAGAATTTCAGCCCTAAAGCCATGCCACAATCCTGTGTATAATTAGCCTCAACCGCCCTAGATGTATTTTGTCGATGTTGTTTTTAACGTGCTGTATTAACCCAGGGTCATTGACCCAGACGGCGGCTGGGCTGCATTTGCCAGAAAACATGTCGTGGAATGAATGTAAATAAAGTGGGGAAACGAGAACACGAGATTGGGCAAAGGTTACGGCCATGGTGTTTAAAGCAACCCAATGTGATCACTGCTAGGAAGGTATGATCATTGCAACGACATTAGAAACATTGCCCGCGCATTACTCAATGGAGTGCATCTAACAATCATCGCCCCACTGTTGCGAAAAATTGGCAAGACCCTTCTGAAAAAGGGCCATGAGATTCACGGAAAAAAGATCACATCGTAGAGTGATCGCTTTCAGGTTCATTTGTGTAACAAGGCCATAGCCTGCTCAATATGATTTCCACTTTAGGGACGTAGTGTTATCAGAAGGTGTGTTCAGGTGTGTTCAGGTGTTGAGAGTTGACGATTTGTGCTCGGGCACCTCTGACAATTCTATATCAGGAAAATGTTTTTTGGTTAAACTGAGATGTCATCACAGTGTATGTACAGCCCTTCTCTTATCCATCCACTGCTGGATGAGGGCCACCATACTTCAGGATGGACGGTGAAGGTGGTGAGCATAGCAGCACAGTACAACATTATTTTGCTCCACTGCAGCAGCAGCAGCGGTGGTTATCGTGATATTTCGACGATGGCCGTTTGCTTGTTCGGTCCGCGCGACTGAGCCACGGGCACATGACATGGGGGGAGCCTTCATCCAGCAGTGGATAGTTCATGACTGATGATTATAATGCATTATTGTGCTTGCTTTTCGAGGAAAGACTCTTTTCAGGCAGGGTCCTGCCAAGTTTTTTTTTTTTGCAGCAGCGGGCGATGCTAGCGATGTATATTCCAATCGAGTAACTCGCGGGTATTTTTTCAAATTCTGACCATATTCTCTGCGGCACGCAATGGCCCCCTATTGGCAAATGACGTCACCAGATCTTTAACGTCCAAGGTGAAGCGGATGTGCGCCAAGTATTTTCGGTTGATACACCGGCAGCATTTACCGGGACGGTCGCCAGATTCGAGCCACGAACTAACCTCCCAGACAGCAGGCGGCTCAAACGTGCTACCTGCCGCTGGTGTCACAATGACTACGATGACACATGTATGTTGAACTTCTTTCGCCTCGTACGTAGCCAACCGTGCAAATCGGAGGTGCGGGGGAAGGACAACAAACTAAACACAAAAATCAGTTTGATAGAAATTAGTTTTCAATCTCGATTAAAGAGTACATAGCTCCAGTGGCTTCCTAATATCGGAAGTAAGAGCGTTCCAGACGGCCGCAGAAGCACATCTGAAAGCGCGCGAATGCAGCGACCGTCTTTGTTCGATGGCGAGCCAAACGCCGCCGCTTCGAGGATGACCGGAGTCCGCGTGACGGTTTATGTTCCTTGACGAGGTCAGCGAGGCGTCGTGGTTCATTTGACGATGCTGGTGATGAACGCGACCTCTGAGTAAATGGCAGCGCTGTCGGGATGTCGGCGGTTGGCTTCGCGTGCAGTCCACGGGGCGGTGGGGCGCACGCACGCGGTGTGGCTGCTCACCCTGCTGGAGGGACAGCTCCTCTCCGTCATCCCGAGGGACGCGGCCCTCTGCTTCCAAGTGGGACGGCTCGCCGCAGGCCTCGACCAGGCGCTGATGGAGGTTCGTCTTCTGTCTGAGCAAAAGGAGACTCGATCCCCCCCCCACCTCCCAACTGCAATTGCTCGCTAGTGCCACTGCTGGCAGAAGGGGCCCCCACTAGAGGGGGCACTAGAGAGCCCCTCTAGTGGAGGGGCGCCACGGTGGTGAGATGTTAACTACCTCACCGGATATTCAGGAGGTCGTGGGTTCGATCACGACCCTGACGTCTGTATATTTGGAGCTTGCGGTGTCTCTCTCCCTGTGGTTGTGTGGATTTTTCTCCGGGTCCTCTGGTTTTTCCCTCCACATTTAGAATCGACATGCATTTATAGGATTGGGCTGCTATAAATGTCCACATGATGATAAGCCACTTCGTTGGGCTATCATTTGTGGCCAGGTCGCTTCTGAAAGAGCGCAATGTAGCTCAGTGGGGCCTGACCTGGTAAAATAAAATAAAAAAAATTGGATAGTTAAAAAAAAAACACAAAAACACTCACAACAATCATTTCAATTTGTATCCTGGACTAGTCTCAACGCAAAAGACATGTCAAGACATTGAGGGGGGGAGGGGTAGAGGATGGGGGTCAGGGCTGGAAAATCACGGGAGAGAGGAGAGAGCCCATTTCATACGTTGTAAACTATATAGATGATTAATGGAATTATAGTGATTTGAAGCTTTCGTGATTGCAGGAATCCATACTCTTTGGTTCTTTCGGTAAAGTCACGTAGGTAGAAAAATAAATAATAATAAAATAATATATCACGACGTTTCGCTCTAAACACAAGCGCTCATCCTCAAGCAGAAAAAATAATCCAGCAGTAGAACTCGCTCCCTCCCCATTTTAAAGTGACTTTCAGGAGCACTCTGGTGATGTCATTGCAGCGACGTATTATCATCAAGCGCGCGAGCGATAAGAGCCGCATGCTACGAGAGGCGTTTCGCCGCAAACATCAGTTCGTAATCGTCGTCGCCTGCACGCGTCTCTCCGTGTCAGTTCCGCAGCCCGCTGATGTCGTGCCTGGAGCGTCGCGGAGGAGCGGGCGGTGTCTGCGGGGGGGAGTGGGACCTGTGCGCTCTGCCCAGCCTGGAGGCGCGCGTGTCGCTGCTGCCCGGCGAGCGGGCGAGGAGCATCGTGCGAGAGGTCATCGCTGAGTTCCGCCAGAGTTTCCTTGCTCGGAGACGCGAGTTCCGCACTGGTGGGTCCCACGTGGGTGGCAGGTTCGGTGGACACGCTCTGGTGTATAGAGTGGAACGGTTAATAAATAAGTGTGCCTCCGACTACGTCGTCCAAGTCTCTTTGAACCTACTACATATGTAGGAAAGGATAAAGGCCAGGGGCTTTAGGGACTGCAGCTTGGGGACCTTGCAATTTGATGGGTGAAACTAAACCAAAACTATTTACAAAAACTAAACTTTTTTTATTTTACCAAGTAAGGCCCACTGAGCTATATAGCTCCTTATCAGAAGCGACCTGGCCACAAATCATAGCTCAACGAAGTGACTTATCATGTAGATATTTATAGCAGCCAAATGTCCTAAACACGTGTTGAGTCTAAATGTGGAGGAAAAAAACAGGAGGACCTGGAGAAAAATCCACGCGACCACGTGGTAGAACATGCAAACTCCAAATATACAGTCGTATATTTAGGTAGAAGATACCAGGCGGGGTAGTTAACATCTCGCCACCGTGGGACCCTCGCCACCCCGGAAACGATGGGGTGGTGGAGACGCACATTGGTGGACAGATCCCAAAATGTGGGACGGAGAGTTCTGTAGATGAACGTGCTGGGCTAGAAACCGAGACGCAGCGCAAATTTGCGACGGAGCGACGGAACCAATGAGGATGTGGCGAGCGTTGGTCTCAGCCAGGAGGATGCCGTGAGCAGGGCAAAGTGGAGAATGAGGAGCAGAGCCACCGACCCCGTACTAACGGCACAGGGCAAAGATAAAGAATCGTTGAAATGCAATACTGCAGCACGATTCTGTAGGAAACTAGATCAGAAATAACCACAGGTAGCTAACAATTGAGTATTTGGCATCACCGGGCATATCGGTGGTGGCAAAAACAGGTGCGAGAAGGAAGCGAATGGTAAAAACAAGTATAACCCGTAAAAACAAAGTTTTTCACTATAAATCCTTTATATGCGTGGCATCGGGGCGGCTAGAGTCCTCTCGTCCTCTGGCTTGAGATGGCTGCCACCTATGGGTCAGATGATTGTCTGGCAGCATTAAACAATTGGTAATTAAATAATTAAAAACATTTCCCTAAACAGTGTAAAATTTTGGAAAAAATTTTTCACGAAAATGCATTGTCACGCACAACGAGTCTGTGTGCAAAATGTCAGCTCGATTGGATCACGGGAAGTGGGTTAAAAAACGACCGAAAGATTTGCACAGTCCTAAGCAAGCAAGCGAACTTAATATAAAGGATTTAAAAAGAGGGCCTCCCCACCCCAACTCCACAAACTATCAGGGCACCGGGCCACCGTGGTGCAGCCAGGCGTACTTGTGATGAGAAACTCGCACTGTGGTGCGGCATGACCTTGCCTCGACCCCTAACGTGTACCGCGCCGAACCGACGGCAGGCCTCATCCACGGAGACTTCAACGACAACAACATCCTCGCCGTGCCGGCCGGGTCACCGCGGCCCGGTGGGACATCCCCGTGGCGCGTCAGCGGCCTGCTGGACTTTGGCGACATGACCCTCGGCTACCTGGTGTTCGAGCTCGCCATCGCCATCGCCTACGCGATGATCGACGCGCCAGATCCCGTCGACGTCGGCGGCCACGTGATGGCGGGCTACGAGAGCATGCTGCCCCTGTCCGACGAGGAGAGGGCGGTCGTTTTCCTGGTGGTGCTCGCAAGGTGGGTGCTGGTTCAGGTGCTGCTGGTGGTGGTGGAGGAGGCTCGTGAAGGACGCTGCTACTGTGTCAGTTGGAGGCAGTCGCCCTCCAACAACAACGGAGGGCAGAGGAGTGACGCTCACAACAACGAGCAGAGCACCGGGTGGATAAAATACAACAAATTGGCACAATAAGGGGGCACAGCTGGTGCATTTGCCAGTCATCTCAGTCAACCCATGGCACCTGGGTCTGTCCCGTGACCTGTCAGCACCTGGCCTGGCACAGGCACCGTGGTGACGTCACCGTCAAATAGTGGTGAATGGCGATGGGTATTGGTAAGCTGGATTATGTGTGACGAGCTCACAGATCCTTGCAAGATCTGGATACATTCCCATTAGCCAGCTCATCTGGAAAGCGAGGCTGCCACACCACCATCATGTGTCCCAGTTGAGCCTCCTAAAATGTTGGTAGCTTTAATAAGTCTGCCCGAACTGACTAATATCTTATTTAACAATTATTTATGTTCGTAAAATATTTTCGATGTATTATTTTACACGGTTGCTTTTGTTACCATTTAAATGCTGCTCCATCGCTGGACTGCGGTGAACTATTCACCACACGTTCCATGAATTGTCGCAATTCTAGGCCGCAATTCCATTACAAACCGATCGTTTTTGTATTTTGTTTTAAGTGACTTCGTACTCAAATGAGCATTGGGGAAGCGCTCAGTCACCCGTTTACAGACTTCAGCCAATGGTGGAAACTCCGCTTGGCCAGGGCCCTCTTGAAAAAAAGTGACACCACTCAAATTTCTATCGGCATCGTTGCTGTACCTCATTTTTATTTATTTGTCCCTAGCCACTTTGGTGGAGAGCAAGGGCCACCGTTGCAAAGCGAGACTCCATCCCGGTCTTTCGAGTTCTCACCTTGGTTTAGGAAGCCACTGGAGCTATATGCACTTTTAAATCTAGATAAAAAATTCACTTTCTTTTTCGGTGTTTAGCTTGTTGTCCTTCCCCCCGCACATTCGATTAGCGCGGTTGGCTTCGTACGACGCGAAAGAAGTTCAGCGTACAAATCAAACCCAAAACCACTACTACCAAGTACGTGTAACATTCACTTTTTTACATTTTTTTGGCGAAATGTTAAAACTTCCGTGTGTGGGGCGCAGGCTGAGCCAGTCGGCACTCAACGCATGGCACAACGTGGCGCTGCACCCGCAGAACGAGCGCTACCTCATGGTGTCAGCTCCCAAAGCCCTGGTGCTGCTGTGCCACCTCTGGGACCTGGGGCCACGGGTGGTGCAGGAGAATTGGGCGCGCACGGCTCAATGGTTGCGCAAGCGCTCCGTCGCCAATTCGTCGACGGAATCGGAATCTTGACGGCTCTAGGTGGGATCCGATGAGCTATGGAGAGCTCTATTTTTAAATCCTTTATATTACGTTCACTTGCTTGCGCGCTTAGGACCGTGCAAATCTTTCGGTCGTTTTTAACCCACTTATCGTGATCCAATCGAGCTGACATTTTGCACACGGACTCGTTGTGCGTGACAATTAATGTTCGTGAATTTTTTTTTCCAAAATGTTACACTTTTTAGGACAAAAATATTATATTTAATTACCAATTGCTTAATGGTGGCAGGCAATCATCTGACCCATAGGTGGCAGCCATCTCAAGCCAGAGGACGAGAGGACTCTAGCCGCCACGCATATAAAGGCTTTATAGTGAAAAACTTTGTTTTTACGGGTTAATTGTTTTGTTTTGTTCTTGACAGATGTCCAGCACGGGGTAGGTCAGCGATTAAAGCCACGCGGACCTGACGAAAGCAGAACGCTGCCACACCCGCAGCGGTTGGCCTCGTGTGGCACACAGGGCCTGATTGAGGCCTAAGCGAAATTAACTACAGCTGAGGCCCTCACATAATGAAGGGGGGGGGGTCTCTAAATTCGAAAAAACATTTTCAAGTTTTTACATAATCGGTTGAAAAATAAAGGAGATAGGGAGAGGGGGGGGGAATTTTCTCTAAAACAGTTATTTTCTTTCCGATAAGACATAAACCACGCGAATCGCGCCTTCGATTAAAAGCAATAATACTTTCATTTTAAATCGTGGCGTCATTCACACTAACAGCATCCCACAATGCTGATTATATATGAGGACCAAATCCCATATATAATGCAGTTTTGCTACGCACGGCGCGAAAGATGCCCAACAAACAAACACGTGCCAAACCCGACCACCTTTGTCTGCCTCGTCGCAGTGTTTTACACATTGTATCAGGTACTAATTTGAGGCTGAGTCGATCTAGGGGGAGGCCCCGGACCGGTTCAGATAATCGTCACTGGTGTTTGCCAATGAACAGGAATCGAACTTGGAACGCTGGGTTCATCGCCCAGCGCGCTAACCGCTACACCACCGCTCCCCCATACAACAGGCACATTTACGAACAATATAATTCATATCTATATTCTTGGTGCTTTCGGTAAAGTCACGTAGAAGGGAAATAAATAATAAAAATATTCTCACGACACTTTTTAAAAAAATTCTTGCTGTGGATTTCACACCTGATGATGATTGCTTGTGTTGCAGTCGAAACGTCGTGAGAATTTTTATTGTTTAATATTATTTTATTATTTTCCTTCTACGTGACTTTACCGAAAGAACCAAGAATATGAATCCCTGCAGTCACGGAAGCTTTAAATCAAAATATAATTCATATCTGTCAACCCATACGGTTTACTCCGTATTCTTATGCAGGGAAATTGAGTTTTCAGGTCCATACGGGGTACAGCCGTTTCAATACGAGCAAAAAAAAAGTGTCTTATTTGTTTGTGTTTCTTCCTTGCGATGGCACTTAGTAGGATGAACGTTGAGATGTATAAGGGGCACGGGGTGACCAATAAGGTCTGACTTGGCCTGTAATCAGGTAGGCACTTGATAAGGAATTAACAGATATGTAGAGGTGAGTGTGATCGTGGTGAGTGTACTCGTGGTGAGTGTACTAGCTATCATAATTCATGAAATATATGAAAAGTATGAGCATTCTCAACAAATGTTATACGCATAAGAACCCTCACTGCCGTGCATTATGAGTCTTCACACCGCGATTGCAGTATTAACACACATCGCTGATTGAGTGAATCGGGCGAATATAAAAATGTCTTAACGCACCGATGTAAATGCACTTTTTTGACAATTTATTACAAAAAATCAACGTTGGCTGTCAATGATCTGCTGCTTTTACTTTAGGTGATGACTGAAGGTCATCGCGCAATGCGTGCGCTGTAACTGGGATAATCTATTCCGTTACCTAAGGGGCCGTCCATAAATGACGTCACACACCTAGGGGGGGGGGAGGTCAAACATTTGTGACGATGTGTGACGAGGGGGGGGGGTTAAAAATATGACGTCATATCAAAATGCCCAACTTGAAATAAATAGACAACACGTTCTACTTAATTAAATAGACTTTTAATAAATGTTTTCTCCTACAGCATCAGAGTGCAGCGTCACATTAAATACGCACTACAATGACAATAGTTTAAAGCGATTTGAAGCATGTTTTATTTTTGGGGTAGGGGCAGATCTTTGTGACGTCATATTTTAGGGGGGGGGGTCTGACTTTTTGTGACGCCGTGTGACGAAGGGGGGGGGGGGTCAAAAATCGTCCAAAATCGCGTGACGTCATTTGTCTACGATTCGCTCTGCTTGGTTTACATTTGAAAGAATGTCGTTTTCTTTTTGAAAACTGATTTTAATATACAGCATACTTCATTCGTGCGTTATACGCGATGTCTTGAATCGGGCGTAATGTACAGCAGCAAAGACGCGCGCATAATCGGACACTCAATTCTACCACGCTCCTGTAAACACAACACAAATCACAGGCGAGTCGCCGTTCCTCTTGAAGGTCCCAATTCAAATGGCCTGCACGCACACACACACGCGCACATTGCATCTCATCCGGTGCCGTTAATAAAAACCGATTACTTCAAGTGCGCAGAGTTGTCGTCAATGACTCACACAGAGACCCACAGACTCACATGAAGGTCAATCGACTTGCATAGAAACCCACACACTGACACTTGAGACCCATAGACTCAACACAGAGGACCCACACATTCACACAGTCCCACTGAGAAACTGCAATGCGCTGGCAGTGGCTTCATCTGAACGCTCTCACATCGAGACCCACAGACTCTCACAGGGTACCCACAGACTCACGTAAGAGACCAGGCCCACAGCCTCACATGGAGACTCCACTGAGAATCTGAAATTCGCCAGCACTGGCTTCATCGTCAGCGCTTTTCTCAAGCAGCCGGGTGACTTGCATCCCACTGGGATTTTTGCACACAGCGTTGGTGTACGGTGTTTTGTTCTGCAATATTTTGCTGTCTTTTCTTGGATTTTCTGTTTGCACTTAGTCACATTCACTTTAAGATGTTTTCTTGTTCATGTTTTTATTTTTTGTTTGTTGCGGTTGCACCCGATTCAAGAGCTGAATGGCTCACAGGGCTATACCAAATAAATGAACTTGAATGTGCATGTTGTGGCCACGTGAAGTGTCGAACGCCCGCTGGCAGGTCAGGAGGCAGACCCAGGTGCCATGGGTCGGCTGACTGATAGGACTGGCCGATGCACCACCTGTGCCCCTTACTGTGCCAACTTACTGCGTTTTAGCCACCCGGCGCGCCGCTCGTTGTTGTGAACGTCGCTCCTCTGCCCTCCGTTGTTGCTGGAGGGCGACTGCCTCAAGTTGCGCAAGAGTGTCCTTCATGAACCTTCTCCAGAGGCCGATCTTGGCACCGCTGGTACCAGTCATCGGCAAGTCCACTCAGCTCCACGTCATCCTGGACCACTTCACTCCATCTCTTCTCCAGCCCGTGTCGCATCCATTTAGCCCCTTCTATTCGGCCGAACAAAATATTTTTAGGCATGCGGTCGCTGGGCATGCGGGCTACATGACTCAGCCATCACACATAAGCGCACACACACTCATTCACACCACATGTATCCTCATGAGCTCACTTTATTTTCACATTTAGCACAAAAAAAAGGGTACAATATACACAGGAGTGCAACACGCATTATGATATTCACATACGAATGGAGAAGTCTGGACAACACATCAACACACCGGCTGCGCAACACTCTTGACCGTGCCGACCCGGAGTGTCCCACTTTTGTAGAGGAAACCTTTACAGCAGAACCATCAAACACCCACCACCCCCGCCCCACTACAGTTCCCAAAGTCCGCCGAGTGGAAGGTCATGGCAACGCAGGAAAGTCGACTGATCTTTCACGAGGCCAGGACTCCCCACGCCCGTGTCTGAGGGTTCTAAGGTCAACTGTAGTTTAGATTTTTTTTAAATATCTGAATGCAACCGCAACTCACGAAATAACAAAATTAACCCAGAATGCACCAAATCTCGTCAGATCTTTGAAGCTCAGCCGGAGAAGAGCCTGGGTTTAGTGCTTAACTTGAAGACTGTCTGGGAAAAGCAGACGTTTTAGGCCTTGCGCTGCAAGTGGGCCAACAGATGTCGGTGTACGTTGGTTTTCTTAAATCCATCTGTGCAGTTGTTGAGTGTTATCCCCCCCCCTTCGTATGCCCAGGTTCTCCCCGAGTTTCTCTGGTTTCCTCTCACGAGCCAAACAAGCTACAAAGGAATTGGTCAAACATCTGAAAGCTGGAACATCATGAATAGAACATCTCATAACCAGTCAAGATTTCCTGGGTAAATGAATAGGGGAAAAAAAGATTCTGACAGTATTATCATCACCCACAGATTCGCATGTGAGCGGGCCTTAATTTCAACCATGTCCCGCAACCCGGCACACCACATCCAGTACTCACTTATCACACCACGGCCGTGACTACACAAAAACAAAAATCACGTGTGCCTTCTCCGGTCTACCAGCGACCCGGAAAATATTCCATGAGAAATGTAAGGCCTCCTTGCGTGCGGGCGCGCCACGCGTGAAGACTGAATGAACTGCGGGGCGCTTTGGTCCTCTGGTTGTACGTGAAATGTACGGGGGGTGGGGGGTGTAGTGATGGTTGGCCAAACTGGATGCGGACCGCTATAAATTCCGTGCACTGCACAAACCCCCGGAATGAAACCACGGCCTCTGCCGGATCACTGGGGGGGCAACCAGCGAGTTAAAAAGAGGTCAGAGTTGAAAAAGGTCCACCCCCACCCACCCCCTTCTCTCCCCCTCACTTGTGAAAATGACTGAACAATTTGTTCGATACAATTCCATTGTGTCAAAGAGATCCAACGGATTATCTTTCGTCTTGGCTACACGGCCATGCGTGTGTTGTGTGCGTGTATACATCTCCCGTTTGTCAATCCACTGCTGGATAAGGGATCACGCCACCCAGCACAGCAGTGGGTGGTGAGGGGTTATCTGACCACACGTCAGCGTGTTTTGGTAAAAGGTCAGGGGGAGTACAGACACAACATCGATTTCGCTGCACTGCCCTCTACTGCCCGGATCGCCCACTACGACTGCACCTGTGTTTTGTGCAAGATGGTCGCCCATCCGAACAGTATCCAGGCTCAAAACCTGCTCAAGATGAGATCGGCGCGCGGTTAGACCGCAGGTCATTAGGGGTCGCATGCGGACACTTCCATAACAAAAATCGCATTGCATTGTGGTTTGCGTTGACACAACACTGCATGTGGGCGTCACGAGCGACGAGCCGCCATGCTGTGGACCCTGGGTAATAATCATTGGCAAATAAAAACAGATAAAGTAGGAGCTGGATATAAGCACACCTGCTATAAGCACAGTTCTTATATGGCAACACATTCTTACGTTACACTGGCGGCCTTGCTCTGTAAAGGGTGTGCTCATAGCCAGATTCTACTGCAACTGGCGGGCGTGTTAGGGAAACTTGATAACCCACACAACAAGCAGCTCACCTTCGTGAGAGGTAGGGCTTTGTAAAAGAGAGTAAGGGGATGGAGGAGATGATGGGAGCGAATGTTTCGAGGCCACTGTGCGGAACATCCGTACGGGGGAAGTTGATGGGATGATTGTATTGTCAAGCGCTTCAAAGAAGTCACACGTGGCGTTAGAGAGAACAATAACAAGTGTGGGTTACCAGGTCATTCTGGGACACCCCTCGATTGTGGTGCAATTGCTAGAGACCATAACGACAGCACCGTCACATTTGATCATCAACCGCAACTAAATAATGATTATTAACATCTAAAGATTCCAGTAATAATAAGCCACTTAACATAACCATTCATGTCTCCCCAATCTAAGTTCACCGAGCGAGCGATGTCGATTACAATGATGTTCTAAAGCGTTTGGAGAGATTAAAATTGAAACAACGAGAGCCTAGTCTCGACATTTTACGACTTGGAAAAATTGAAAAACCGGCATTTTCATTACAGGCCCCTCAAATGTAGGACCAAAACATTTTTGACTTGGGTGTTTTTTTTTCCCCACAAACTCAGACCTAATCGAAGTTTGCATCTGGAAATGCTGAAGGGAGACAAATTCCAAACATGACATCAGATTTTAAAATCCGAAAACTGCGATTTGCCTTCTTAAAAATTCCGTGGGCTAAAACTTGCGTGTGTTCTGTCGTTTGTAAGCTTGGTCCTGTGAAAGTATTGTCTGGAAGCGTTGAAGGATGTCAAATCCAAACATGACATCGGAATTTTAAAAAATTCGGCATCCGCATTGTTGCTTTATTTCAGCCTTAGCCTGTTCAGGTTTGCGTGTGTACGTATAGACGGTGCTTTGAAAGGGGTTTGGCCATTCAAAACACGTCGTTTTTCAATAACTGAATTTTCAGGAGACTTCTTTTTGGAAGTGCGTGGCACACAGGGTGGTGCACTGCTTTGCAGGATTTTCAAATGGTTACTTTGCACAAAGGCACGATATTGACAGTGTAATTGGAAAACACATCGGCAAGCACCATCGGGAATATATTCTTTAACATTCATTTATATTTTTGTTATTTTTTCGATTTTTATATTTTACGTGGCGAAAGTTGTTTTTGCGCCGATTTTTATTTTGCTTCTCACCTGCGCCAAAACAAATACACTGAACGTGAAATATATTCGGGAGAGGGGGGGGGGGGCGGAGCGGGAAACTAAAACAACACGACACAATAGTTCAAAGCTAGGCAAACGTTGCAGCACGCTGCACTGAAAATCTGCGTGAACTACATGTGAACGCTGTTTTGTCGACAGCGCTGGATGCAGCAAAAATACGTTCCTAACGCACAAGCAGCTACGGCAGGGAGCGATGAGCAATGTTGTGATTAACCACAGGTTGTCGCACCAGGACGTAGCCGTGCAGAGGAACGCAAGCATCGTTTCTGGAGGATAGCTCTCTGTAACTGGACCGCTCGCGTCTCTCCTGTTTTGTTAAAAAAAGGCACTTTGGAAGGCGTAAAACTGGCTACACGCGTTATGCCAGTACTATCCTGTGCGCAGGTTATGCATGTAGGTAAATACTAGGCATGTACGAATCAGACTACCCCCACCACCCAGCAGTTCGACGTATCGTCACGATTCCGGGCGCTGCGATGGATTCAAGATTAAACAATTTAGTTTTAATGACCAAATGTGGTGAACGCGGCACATCTAGTGGCTGCGGGGATTAGGTGACCGAATCAATGAGGTGGATTGCATGGATGGAATGCAAGTGGCTTCCCAGTAAACGTGGAACTTCTGGGCCAGCGCAAGAATGAACGTTCGACCAACGTTGGCCAAACGGTTTACTGAGCGATTCTAACGCTCACTCTTTGCCACGTGTTGTGAGCATACGGAATCACCGTCGGTCGAGGATTCGATCCGCTTGCGTTGTTACATGACCGATAAAAACACCGGTCCTGCAAAATGGGTCACCATCAGTGATTAAACTCGCCTTTGTATTGATTCACGCTTTTTTTTCGTTCTCGTCTCTACGGTTTTCGTTCAGTCGACTTTGCCCGACTGCAATGCGTATCGTGTCGCTCAGATGTCGTTTGCATCACTTCTAAATAATCAATTCCCAAATGCACGATTAGATGCGAATCTTTGCGGGTGTAGGAGTCGTTTATTATCTATGCATAGCGACACGCCTAGTATTTGTGTATGCACACCCATACTTACGTGTACAGATATGCATATGCATGTAAAATACTACGGGTGATTTTCTGATTTAAAAAAATATTTGTTTGCATTTGTAACAACAATTATGGATCTTTTTATGGATTTTTTTTACCACTTACACGATGTACTAATTTTTATGCGTTTTTGGGTTTTAACAAGTGATGTCACGTGGCCATTACCTCATGTCACGTGACACCACTCTTGGCATGAAAGTGACCTCACAAAAAGGTGCCATCACTTTTTCAGATCAATAAAACGATTATTTATTTATTTTGCCCCAAATTTGACGTCTTCGGCCTGATTGTCAGATTTTTTCAGATTCGTCCGAAAATCTGGAACATCCCTAACAGTAACACATATACACCATAATTCTAACAGCATGCATTTAACATATCTCAATGTACACGTCTACTGTATAAGATTGTGAGTGTACCTGTTACAGGGTGTCCACCCATCACTGAAAAACATTAATTACAGTGGACTGCAGTCCGAGCTCGGTTTATGAAATCACATACCCAATCACACTTGGTGATGTGAAGATTTCATCATCCGGGTCTCATGCCCCCCCTCTCAACCGCCACGTCGACCATCGGCGTTGACACGCATCATATCGAGAGTTAAAAGTCCCAGGCGTTTGCCAACATCCCACCTGCAATCGTTTCACATACTTTTGTCGTGTGCTGCTGTCGACGACCATTCTAGAAAGATGGATGATGGATGCAGCTATTTTGTACACTCAGTGCGCGCTTTTTGTGCGTGCTGCCTACACGGATTCGCTCAAGGTTTTCGCAATCGGCAAATGCACGCAACGGTAAGGAATCTTTGCTGCCAATATTTCAGCCAGGAGGACACGTTAAAGATCCCTTGACGTAGTTCGCAACATGGCGTTCATCACTCTCCCTACTGCCATCCGAATGCCCCAGGTCAGTCTTGCACGAGACCATCCTGCATGAACATAACAAACTAGAAACTTGAACCGCACAGTTCAATTAGATGTATAATTATGATTATTTAATTATGGGTACATTCAAGGACACCCTGTACAGGTAAATGTGCTATACACACGAATATAATTACATAGGCCTAAGTAAGCAATGTCAAGGTACGCCCCAAACAAACATATAATCCATGCATGTGCTGCGTACACATACATGGGTATATGTTTGTACATGTATTTACAGATGTATATATCTGCCAACATGTCGCTACGTTTATTATTAGCGGACTTACATGTATATATCTGTACATATGAATGCATGTGTGTAGGTATGAATGTACACATGCATGTATACATACATGCATACACACGTGACCTATGGGAAAAAAATGTATGTGTATGGAAATATGTATACGTGTCAATGTACGCCCCATACAAACATATACCCATACATGTGTTGCGTACACATACATGAGTATATGTTTGTAAATGTATTTACAAATGTATAGATCTGCCAACATGTCCCTATGTAAATTATTAGTGGACTTATATATTTATATCTGTACATATGAATGCATGTGTGTAGGTATGAATGTACACATGCATGTATACATACATGCATACACACGTGACCTAAGGAAAGCAAATGTACATGTGTGTTGAAATATGTATAAATCCGTGTATGTACATATGCAACAAGGCAGTGGGTGACCAGTGCCTCCAGGTTGAGGAAACAACAGCTTCCACTTCAGGTTTGTTCAAACTCCGGCAGAGGTCGCAAACGGGTACCTGTACCCGGCCGGGTACGGGTAGCCGGGTATCGGGTACGGGTATCGGGTACCCGGTTGTGACCTCTGACCTCCGGTGACGTGAGATTGAGAGTCACGCGTACAGGCCTCGTGTCAAACCACCGCTGCACGAGGACGACCACCCACGTCGTGCTGGTCCGTTGGGGGTTACGCGACCACAATTCACCGTGCCGGTCAGTGCGGGTTAAAGGTGGACAAGAATGGACACGGGAGCATAGAAGCACAATACAACAATGGGTTTTGTCTGCGACGGTCCTGTGCTGCCCCCGCCCGTCACTTGGTGCGTACAGGTGGATTCGTTGAGAACTGGAACGTGAAAGAAAAGTGTGATGATGATGATGATGAAGTTTCATTGCTAGGGACCAATTATGGACCAGTTTCTCCCGGGAAGATATGTGCACCTGTCCCAGAGGTCGCAACCGGGTACCCGATACCCGTACCCTACCCAATACCCGGCTACCCAGCCGGGTACGGGTAGCCGTTTGCGACCCTGGTGCGGCCGGGTACGGGTACAGAATCAAAACCCGTTTGCGACCTCTGACCTGTCCGGTGGAGAAAGCGCCGATGGAACTGCTGCTCAAGAATATTATTCGTGCCCTCATCATGCCCCTTGATTAATCATGGAGGGACTCCTCCTCTCTGTGGACTCCACAAATCCCCCACCTTCCTAAGTGCAAGTGATCGTCCAGCCTTCTAACTTGCACCCATCAATGAGAACGCATCAACCCGGTACTCCGATCCCTCCACTGTGCTCTCAACCTGATTCCGACTCAACTGCAAGATGGAGGATCTTGAAGACGCCTTCAATGTCTTCAAGATCTTCCATGGACTCTAAACGCTCCTACCTCTCCCCCCCCTCACTCTAATCACCTTCAATATTCTCTGCACGCCAGCAACTAAGATCTCCCATCTTACTGCCCCCTGTTCAAGTCCAGGCCCAAAACTTTCCTCGTCCTTCTTGTCTACGATCATCTCCTATCTCAGAAATGTTTCAAAGAAGAAAATGAGTAAATACGTTCCTGTTTTGGGCGATTCCCAGGGATGCGGATTTAGACGGTCTCTCAATGCACTTGCATCGTATTGCCGATGAAGCCAATGCCGTCGCATTCCAGTTACTCAACGAATCCACCAGACGCGCGCGCCATCGCGCCCGAGACTGGAAAACCCGAGATGGCGCTTGTGGCCTCCTCAACCTGAAGCCACGAAAAACCTCCTCTATGCATTAAGTGCCTGGCACGAGCAATTCACATTTTTCAGATTCCGTATTTAAAGATCGCACCTGTCCAAAACCAACGGGCGCCACGTTCAAGTTGAAACCGGTTCCTTGCGAAGCCTTGGGCGGTACCGGTGGGGCGAGTGGAAGGACGCGTCTCACGGTGGGCCCCCCCCCCCAACCAACCAACTCCCCCTTCTCTCTCCTCGCCGTCCGCTCGATCCCCACTGCCGTTCTAGTTTCTGTACCGTGCCGCCACATCGGACCACAGCCTCTGCATGTCCTCCAGGCCCCTGGTCCAGAGCTCGCGTAGCTTCACCCAGCCGGTGCGCGCCGTTATCAGCAGGTAGTCGGCGTTCTGCGGGTACCGCAGGATCGTGTAGCGGGCCATGACCAGCGACTGGCAGAACCTGCGGGGAAGAGTAGACCATGTTGTTGTTGTTGCCCTTGCTGTTGTGACGGTTACAATTCGTTTGTTATTCAAGAGGTTTTTTGCTGCCGACTTGTTTATCGGCTGCGATGTCAGCGACCAGGAATCGCAGCCATAGTTGGATCAAGTCTCGTGGTCAGCAGCAGAAGTGCCAGCGGAAGGAATGTCGCAGTCTTCATCTTCCTCGTCTCCAGCAGCAGCAGCAGCGTGATCAGCAACATGATCGTAAACAACATCGCTATAAGTGTCTTTTCTATAATCATCATCGTCATCAGAAGCATCCGTAGAAGTGCTGTTAGCAACACCATGGTAATCAGCATTATTATGTCTAAACTGCTACTGATCCCCCCGTTCACCAATACACATTAACCAGCATGGTGAAGTATGGTCAATCACCCCGTGGTTTGCCGCACGATCGAGTTTATCGGATTCTCGCCAGACCTGGATTAATTCTCGTTACGCAACCGCCACAGGATTTTGAAGCCAACGTTTTCCCCGATGCGGCCAATGACGAGCCGGGCAGACCCGACCCGACCTGCCCCGGACCGGCCCGGCCCCCCTCCCCCCCCTCCGCTCTCACCTGCATGCCACCAGGAAGTAGACGGCCCTCCTCTCGTCCTCGCTGAGGGGCTGCACGCTCTCGTAGCCGGCCAGGACGTGACCCCCGGCCTCCATCGCCTCTCCGCTCTCCACCATCATGTACATGATGGCCATGGCCAGGTCGTACACGTGGTAGCCGAACATCATCGAGTTGAGGTCCACGATGCCGGAGACGCAGTGTCGCGGCGCTCCGTTCGCCGTGTTGCCCGACGCCGACTTGGGCCCCGGCTGCCGCTCGCTCTCCGCGTCCACCTCCTGCACCAGGATGTTGTCGTCGTTGAAGTCACCGTGGATGATGCCTGCGGCGAGGGGGAACGGCACACGCGGCGTGCGCAAACGCGTTACGGCTCTCGTCGTCGAATTTTATTTCGGCCGTTGTCTTTTATCGTCGACCGTCCTCCCCTTTGTCGTCGTCGTTCGTGCCCGTGACGTTTTTATTCCAGCCGCACAATTGGTGTTGCACATTGCCCGCGTGTGCGAGTCTAAGAACGGCCCCGCAGAGTCTCAGTGATTCACCAACTCCTCCTGCCTCCAAAGGCGCTGAATTACAATAATCCACCAGCGTCGTACACGCAGAGCCGCGCATTCCAACCCCTCCCCTCTCTCGCGTGTGCGAGTCAAAGAAAGGCACCGCAGAGTCTCAGTGATTCACCAACTCCTCCTGCCTCCAAAGGCGCTGAATTACAATAATCCACCGGCATCGTACAACCCTGTACGGGGGCGAGATATGGAGCGGTGTGGAGTGGTTTGCACGCTGCATCACGAGCCCTCGATTCCCGGCCATGGAGAGCATCACTGATATCCGAACCAGTCCTGGGATCCTACCTCCTCACCGACCAGCGTGGTGGAGGTGGCAAAACAACCCCATTGCCCCCCTACACAACCTGGGAATGCCTTCGTCCAAATAGTGCATTGATAAAGGTCTGTACATTATTATTATAAGTATATGTGTGAAGCCAGGCCCCAGCTTTAACAAAAAGTGTTTAACACAATTTAGCATCCAGTGAAAAATTATTTGGTAGAAATTACAATTATGATTTATACACAGTCGGGTCTGAATGTAATAACCCTGTCATTTGATTTCACCTATGATCAGTGTGTGTGTGCGCGAGTGTTCCCCATTACATGCATTGCCATCTGTGTGTACTGGGTAAAAGTAATCACGTAAAGCGCAATGCAAAGAAAATGCTTGGCACAAATGAATCACAATACCTTGCTGATAAACCATCACACGGACTCGGGTCATCCTCGCAGCGGCTTTTGGCTAACCATCCAACGAACAAAGACGGTCACCGCATCGCGCACTTTCAGATGCGCTTCTGCGGCCGTCTGGAAAGCTCTTCTTTCCAATATTAGGAAGGCACTGGAGATATGCACTTTTAAACCTAGACTGAACACTAATTTCTTTAGAACTGATTTGTGTGCTTAGTGTGTTGTCCTTCCCCCGCACCTCCGATTAGCACGGTTGGTTACGTACGGTGCGAAAGAAGTTCAACATACACGCATACGTGGCACCCGTCGTGGCTTCAAAGGCCTCGTCGGTGGCCTGAACCGCCCCTCGCCCCCTGAGGCATGGGGCTACGTCCCGGGTGAAGCTGCGAGGCGAACGTACATCTGGTGAACTTGTGCAGGTTGGGCTGGATCTCCTCGCGGAACTTGGCGATGACCTCCCTGACCAGGCCCTGGTTGGGGTCGCCGTCCAGAGCGAACAGGTAGGCCTCGAGCAGGTGAGTGTTGGACAGGTTCCAGATGAAATCGTCTCGTTGCAGGTAGTGCAGGAACGGGTGCTCAAACTGCGCAAACGTTTAAAAACGAAGGAGGTAAGATGAGAAAAAAAGTGCAATACGAGATTAACATTGCATAGGCCAGTTGAGTACACACGTAAGTTAAAGGCAGCAAACGTCAAGCCAGGAAAGGATAGTCTGCGTTTCAGAAAGTCTGTTCTCCGGTGTCCCGTAGCATTTGATAAACATCAAAATTGTGCCCCCAGTTTAAAATGTTCTGGTCTCAAAATAAAATAAAATGCAATACGAGATTAATTTCGCATTGGCCGGTGAGTACACATGTAAGATAAAGACAACTAACGTCAAGCTAGCAAACTACAGTCTGCGTTGCAGAAAGGCTGTTTCCAGTGTCCCGTAGAATTTGATAAACATCAGAATTGTGTCCCAGTTGACAATGTTCTGGTCTCATCCTTGACTTATTATATGGCGGAGGGTGGAGCTGCCCAAGTCCTGCGCGTGGTTGGCAAATGTACGATTGTTATTTGTGAATAACAGGACACTTGAATGGATCTGAAAGTAGTTTTGCGAGATCACCTTCTGCAGGCCATTCTCTAATCAGAGGTGATGCACAGAATGAGATTTTTTTTCCATCTCATGACATAACACCAGTTAGCACCACAACTCATGCAGCCCTTATCAAGGCTCTGCCGTATTTAGTGTTGGTCATGTCGGATGTTTGACCATACTTCGCCAAACTGGTCAGTGTAGGTTGATGAAGGATAGAGGACAAGGGAAGGGGAGGGGCAGGACTGGTTCAGATATCACTTGCCACGAATGTTAGCCGTGGCCGGAAATCAAACTCAGGTGGCCGGGTTCGTAGCGCAGTGTGCGCACAACTGCGCCACCGCTCCACCCCGACGCTTGGAATAAAATCGGGGAAGGGGGGAAAAAAAAACAACAACAAAAATACGTTTCTTGAAAACCAGCCATTCCATCTCTTGGAAGGAGTCTCACGTTGCCAATTATGAACAGCTGCTCACTTTCTGAGCGAGTGGGCTCGCTATGTCACATCACACTTGCTTATCGAGAGAAAAGCCTCGCCGAGACTCAAGACTTTTTTTTAAAGATTGTCGCTGTAAGGCGTTGGGGAAATCATCGCTACGCATTTCCCAATGAAGTAATTTGCGTATTCTTAGGTTTTTTCGGTAAAGTCACGTAGGTAAAAAAGCATTTACTTGATACAGCAAGCATGCTGTGACGGTTTCACCTGAAGACGGAAGCTTGTGTTGCCTCCGAAACGTCGTGATTTTTATTTTATTTTACTTTTATTAATTAACATTTTAATTTTTTACCTACGTGACTTTACCGAAAAAACCTAAAAGTATGAATCCTTGCAGTCACGAAAGCTTCAAATCTATAAGTAATTTGCGAGAAATTAATTTTTTGCCTTTTCACTTTGCCGAATATTCTCACGTCACGTGTCAAGAGACGCGTCGTGACGCACCCTCAGTGCCCGTGGGCTCGTACCTGCTGCAGGGCTTGGTGGAAGCTTGCTGCCAGCTTGCCCACCTGGTAGTACAGGCTGCCGTCCGCCAACACCCTGGACAGCGGCACGCCGGGCAGGTACGTGAGCAGCCGCACGTTGAACTCCTTCTCACCTTCGCCGCAGTCTGAGGATTCACAACAGGAGTCGCCACCGAGGTCGAGAGGTCACCACGGTTAGTGCAGTCTCACCCGTCGCTTCCTTTTGCTGGAACATAAAAAGCTGTTCGGAAGCTGATGTCGGAACCTCCAAGGTCAGGCCAAAGTGTCGACTCACCACATTGCGCCCTGCGTTCATTACTCACGTGCTATACTACACAGGGTCTCTTATGTATTGCTCAACTGATAGCCAAGGCTACAGTTTTTTTAGGAAATTAAATGACAATTTGCTGCTCAGTATTAAAGGGTTAATAACAATAATGAACATGCCAAGTCCAATTTATAACGCACACAAAATTCGTGTAGTCTCTAAAACGCCAATCTCTCTTGCAACTTGAATAGAGTATTTCTGTTCTCCCCCCACCCACAATAGTAACTTGGAGCGATTTTTTTCTCATTACTTTCTTTCACGGTTACTATTAACGCAGAAATGAATAACACGAACGCATTCCGAAATTCGCATTCCAATATGGGCCTTGTTATCTAAACCGCTGTAGATATATATGACTTTAAACCCCCAGCCAAACCTCCTACGCTTTTCACAAGTAGTACTAATCGCATATCTGCATTTCCCATAAATATGCTAAATTCCTCTTGATATGCAAATTATTTTGTCAAGGCGCCCTCCCCCCTCCATCCCAGCTTAAATAGACGCTCCAAGCCTGGGGTGTGTCATTCAGACTCTGTCTACTTGACAGACCTGTTCTCCACCTGAGAACGGCTGCTTGTGTTGTGGCCGAAACGTCGTGAGAATTATTGAATGTTTGATTTTTCTTATTTTATTATTTCCATTCTACGTGACTTTACCGAAAGAACCAAGAAGATGAATAAAGCAGTTGAGAGGAATAATACCTCGCCACACCCATGCGTAAGACATCCGCCAAAGTTGCAACGTGGCACGCAACAGTCGCGCCCCAGCGCACGCTGGCCGGAACCGGGGGCAATTCGCCCAGGTTCGGGCCAGAACGGACACGTCAGCACACGAGTCTAGCTGAATTCCCCGGGTTCACCTTGAGCAAATTACTTCGGAGGAGGGTGAACGGGGGCCCCATCTGCATCAGGAGGCGACTTCTATCGCTCGCTCCATCGCATAAATATGAGGGTCAGCGGCATTCCGTGATCTTCGCATTCCATACACGGCGTTGGGCGGCGATGTCAGCTCACGCGATGAACCCCGAGCCTGGGTTTAGAGGAGCGCTGCTAGCCCAGGCATTATAATCAGAATATGTACTTATACTGGAGGAATCCGATGAGCTATGAAGCTCTTTATTTTACAAGTGTTCAGCAGCCCAGTGTTGGGCCAAGCCCAAACCACCAAAATTAATTCATTCTGGTCTACAGAACAACTGTCCCGCCATGCCTTGCATGAACTAATTAAGTGCATGTCTCGGTCAGCAATGCTCAATTGAAAAACCGTTGCCCCCATGCCCCCCCCCCCAACTGAAACATTTGACAAGACCCTCCCGATACTTGGTGAGTCTCTGCTGTGAAAACAAGTGTAACGATAATGATTACAATAATAATAATAGTAGCAGTGATGCGATGCAGGAGGTCGGAGTGGGTGTGGGGGAGAGCTAAGCTCTGTATCGACATGTTTGTATTACTCTAAATCTCTCCTCTTGCGGATAGATATTTCTCCCATTTCTTGGTTCTTTCGGTAAAGTCACGTAGAAGGGAAATAATAAAATAATAAAAATAAAACATAATAGAATAATAATATTTTTATAATTTTATTATTTCCCTTCTACGTGACTTTACCGAAAGAACCAAGAAGATGAATCCCTGCAGTCACGAAAGCTTTAAATCGAAAATTAAATCCTATTTCTGATTAAATCTCTCTCGTATCTCTACAATATATCGCTTGTGACGTCTCTCTCCCGTCTATGCTTATTAATGTATTAAATGGTTTTGGTTTGACGTGTTCCCCTTGTCAATGAATCCGGAACTCGATGCAAAGAGTTTGACGTCTGCTTCTCTGTGCCATTAAAACATCTCTCAGGGTCTCCTGGCTAGATAAGTAAAAACGAAACTAACGATTTAGGTTTTGTATGTATGTTGAAATTTTTTCGCACCGTACGTAGCCAACCGTGCTCATTGGAGGTGCGGGGAGGTGGAACACACTGTGCAGTTGGCGAATGGCGGGGTCGGTGAACTGTACAAACATTACATCCACCAACCTGTAGGCCAATGAGGTGGTCAGTGGATGAGAATGCAGCGAGTGTGCTTCTGATCTCTCACCACAGATGTTATCATCTTGTGCGTGTGGGTTGTCTGTGAGCAGTCATTCCAGTTTCATCCCACACACCAAACATTGTTTTTTATATTTATATATATATATATAAATAATTTACAAAAGATCCCAATGTGGACCTTTGGGCCAGTACCAACAAGCAGCGCGTTACATCCACCAACCTCACAAAAAACTAAAGGTCACTTATCGTCAGTGGAGTGCAACCCAGTATAACACCACCGTCTCATGCTCTCATATTGAGGATTGTTGTCTTTGCAAGTATAAACCAATGCTGTATTCGTATCATGATTACTATCAGCCTATGACTAAATCACCTGGAATGTGCCCTATCATAAGATCTGAAAGCTAAGCAAGTTGACCCTGGATTAGGGCTTTAAACAGGTATCATAGGCTGCTGCGTGGCGCTACGTTGTGGGAGCCAGAGTTCAGTGCAGCGAAATCAAGTCAATTGTAGGGATATGAGAGAGATTTAATCAGAAATAGGATATTTATTTGGAAGAGAGATAGGAGAAATATGCTAAATTCCTCTTGATATGCAAATTCGTTTGTCAAGGCACCCCTTCCCCCCTCCAACCCAGCTTAAATATACGCTGCCAAGCCTGGTGGTGCCAATTCAGACGCTGTCTTTCCGACAGACCTGTTCTTCACCGTTGTGGCCGAAAGGTCGTGAGAATTATTTTACTATGTTTTATTTTTATTATTTTTATTATTTCCCTTCTACGTGACTTTACCGAAAGAACCAAGAAGAGGTACATCTACGCTCCGATGTCGATGCTCCCGGGACCCCGCGGACGCAGCTCACCGATGCTCTCGAGCGACATGATCTTCCCGCTGACGTTGTCCACCACCTCCTGCATGGGGAAGCCCCTCTGCTGCAGGAACCTCATCATGGCCATCTGCACCTCGAGCAGCTGCGGCCGCTGGCTGTCCCGCGTGTTGGTGACCTTGAGCACAAATTGGCGGCCGTCGCGCGCCAGCACGCGGTAGTTCTGGTCGATGTAGCTCGCCAGAGGGCTCACCCCCGCCACGCTCACCCCATAGAGGCGCTCCACCAGCTTCACCGCGTGGGACTCGCTGAGGCACGGCTTCTCGTGGTCGTGGCCGTTGTCCTGCGGCACGGTTTGCATCGTCTTTAACGAACAAAACGAGAACAACAAAAAGTTTCGATTTAAAGCTTTCGTGACTGCAGGGAATCATCTTCTTGGTTCTTTCTGGAAGGTCACGTAGAAGGGAAGTAATAAAATAATAAAAATATAATAGAATAGAATAATTCTCATGACGTTTCGGCCACAACGCAAGCAGCCGTCCTGCTTACGTTGTGGCCGAAACGTCGTGAGAAATATTTTATTATTTTATTATTTTATTATTTCCATTCTACGTGACTTTACCGAAAGAACCAAGAAGAACAACAAAAAGCTTTGAATTTGGCAAGTGCACGTTGGCATTCGCTCCATTCGTACAGCGCAAGGCACCTCCGATTAGCACGGTTGGCTACGTACGGTGCGAAACAAAGTCAGCATACATACAAGGCTACATCCTGGAGGCGCTACGCTTCACGGACAGTCCACAGTAGTTTTCGCATTTACACAGTTGTGCAGACACACGTGGCACGCTACTTATTCAAATTACATCTCCGAGATCTTTAACATCCGACTGTGAAGCAGACAATGTGTGCAATATTAACAGTTCATACACCCACAGTATTCACCAGGGTGGTCGTGGGGCTCGTACCACAAACATCTGCAACTCGCTACCGCTCGGCCATGAAGTCAATCCATCGATAACTGTGCTCAGTGATCAATAAACACGTCCCTTTGCTCGCATAACATTTAGTAGCAACACATTTCTCTGAAAATAAAGGCACCAAATTTTGATTTAAAGCTTTCGTGACTGCAGGGATTCATATTCTTGGTTCTTTCGGTAAAGTCACGTAGAAGGGAAATAATAAAATAATAAAAATATCAAACAATAAAAATTCTCACGACGTTTCGACTGCAACACAAGCAATCATCATCAGGTGATGATGATTGCTTGTGTTGCAGTTGAAACATCGTGAGAATTTTTATTGTTTGATATTTTTATTATTGTATTATTTCCCTTCTACGTAACTTTACCGGAAGAACCAAAAATAGAAAGGCACCGCTTAAACATGTCAGATATAAGATTCGTAATAACAGAGAATTGCCCTTGTGCATTTCCGTGGAAATACAGCCAGTGTCTGATAAAGTAGCATTACTGTAACTGGAGTTATAACAAGAACCGTGGGTTTATGCAGCATTGCGGAGCTGCAGTTATGGCCCACCGAGTAAACACCGTGTCCCGTAAGCACAAAATCACGTGTTCAAATTCCATCGCATGTGTAATTGTGTGAATAATAATCAGGGCTTAATCTGTCACCGAATATTTTCCGGGTCGCTGGTGCGGAGTGGAGTAGGCGGCACAGCCCCGCGAGCCACAGCTCTAGCGAAAGGTACACGGAGGACGTGGTGTGCCGGGTGTGAACATAGTTTTCAGAGTCACTGACACAGACTGTACACAATGCAAAAAGTATAAAAATAGGCTTTTGTATTTTGGGGGGGGGGGGGGGCGCATTAATGGATATATTTTGCACGGCAGGTGAGCGGTGACGTCACATCTGCGATGTCACCCGCATGCGGCAGCGTCACGCAGTGTGCCTGCTGACGTCACGCAGTGTGCCTGCTGACGTCACGCAGTGTGCCTGCTGACGTCACGCACCCCCCCCCCCACAACCCTCCGCGTAGGCCGTGTGTTAATCCAAGACAAGAATCCAAGTCTCGGGCAAAGCCGGGTAGTCAAGCTAGTCCCTTATAGAATAAACCTCTAATAATTCACAGCCCTATGTGAACCAACTGCTACACGGGGGCCTTCCTCACCCCCCCCATGCCATGTTAATCACGGCAGTTTCTTTGACCAAACTTTACCAAGCTGTCTTCTTGGTTCTTTCGGTAAAGTCACGTAGAATGGAAATAATAAAATAATAATAATAAAACATAATAAAGTAATTCTCACGACGTTTCGGCCACAACGCAAGCAACCGTCCTCGGGTAAAGAACAGGGCTGTCGGAAAGTCTCATTCAGACTCATTCAGACGCTGTCTTTCCGACAGACCTGCTCTCCACCTGAAGACGGCTACTTGCGTTGTGGCCGAAACGTCGTGAGAATGACTTTATTATGTTTATTTTTATTATTTTATTATTTCCATTCTACGTAACTTTACCGAAAGAACCAAGAAGATGAATCCCTGCAGTCACGAAAGCTTCAAATCGAAACTTTACCAAGCTGGTCAATGTGCGTTGGCGGAGTGGGGTGCTCAGGACCAGTTCAGATAGCCACGGCAGCCAGGATCATCACGCAGCTAGCAAACTCCTGTGACCCCTCCAGCGCGCTCACATGCTTTTTCATTCATCGCTTGACACTTGCAATAATTTCTGCTCGTGTTCCCCGATTTCTATTGTTAGAATTTTACGAATTGTTTGACATTTTCTTGGTTCTTTCGGTAAAGTCACGTAGAAGGGAAGTAATAAAATAATAAAAATAAAACATAATAAAATAATTCTCACGACGTTTCGGCCACAACGCAAGCAGCCGTCCTCAGGTAAAAACCAGGTCCGTCGAGGCGACAAAGTCCGTCGAGGCGACAAAGTCTGAACATTCAGACTTTGTCGCCTCGACGGACCTGGTTTTCACCTGAGGACGGCTGCTTGCGTTGTGGCCGAAACGTCGTGAGAATTATTTTATTATGTTTTATTTTTATTATTTTATTACTTCCCTTCTACGTGACTTTACCGAAAGAACCAAGAAGATGAATCCCTGCAGTCACGAAAGCTTTAAATCGAAATTGTTTGACATTTTTGTGGATTTAATCTTTTGCTTAGCATCACCGTGTTATAAATCGCTGTCATTCATCTAAAACAGCGGTTGGGAACCTATGGCTCGCGAGCCATATATGGGCTCTTCCAGTGACGGCATATGGCTCCCAGACAATTTTGAGTTGAAAAAAATAATAACAAAAATAAATAAATAAATCTGTTTGGAACTGATTTTAAAATACTTGTGATATTGCTTAATAATACTGTGTCATTTTAAAGTAAACAGAAATTAGTTTTGAAGATAAATTTCACGGGTCACGCCTGCATGAAGCTCAACCTCACTACGTATGAACCAGACTACAAGGCCATCAGCAAAACCATGCAGCACCAGAAGTCGCATTAAAAGTGATACATATTAAATTTATTATACGTAAAAAAAAACTATATGGCTCTCAATGAAATATATTTAGAAATATTTGGCTTTTATGGCTCTCCCAGTCAAAAAGGTTCCCGACCCCTGATCTAAAACGTCTAAACTAAACTATGTATTTTACCTGGTAAAGCCAACTGAGCTATATAGATCTTTTTCAGAAGCAACCTGGCCACAAATGATAGCTCAATAAAGTTGGTTATCAAGTGGAAAATGTATTGCAGCAAAGTACTCTCAACTTGTGTTTCTAAATGTTGGAGCGAAAAACCGGAGGACCTGGAGAAAAATCCACGCGATCACGGAGAGAAAGTGCAAACTCCAAATACATAGGAGTCAGGGTTGGGATTGAACCCACAACCTCCTTCATACCATGAGAGGTAATTAACATCTGGCTACAATTAGTATTCGACAAAATGATATCGTTTGCATTCCAGCCCGTTTCCCTCTACCTTCAATACACTATCCATTACTATGCTAGCTAACACATTAGTTCAAGTTGTGACATTCATTGTATAACTTTATAACTTCAAGGAATTTTTGTTTATGGTTTAAAAGACTGGCTACGAACTCCAAACCACAGACAAAATAACATCGCAGGCTCCCAAAACAGATCTCAAGGAATGACGGAATAATCCATGATAGAGGTTTTTTCGGGTTAGATCGCGTAAATACATAGGCGTAAATACGCGATCTAACCCAAAAAAAACGATTTTGGATATTGGTCGCGAAAGCCTACGTGTTAAAATGACGGAATAACTTCATCAACTTCACCATTGGAACCTCATTTGCCAGTAAAAAATATGATAATTGTTTTTTTACCCTTTTATCTGGCAACAAAACTGACACCTTTTTGGGTGTGAACCAATCAACTTCAAGGACAGTGCATACATTATCAGAGGTATGTTTTTTGTTTGCATTATGACTGCAGGTATTGTGGTCAATGCAAACATGACTCCTTGTAAAAAAAGGTGTCAGTTTTGTTGCCAGATAGAAGGGTAAAAAAACTATTTTCATCAACTTCATTACGGACAAGTGAACCACACACCGTTAGTAGTCTATCGTCGTTGTAATTGCAATCACTTTTGAATCGTACACTACTCTTGCAACTCTTGTCGCCTAACTTGATTTATTTAAATGTAGGAGCGGTAGCGCGCATGACCTGCACGTCTAATTTCATACGCGGGCTTTCCACGACGAAACATTACGCTTCACAACTCCTTTATTTGGGGTTAGATAGTGTAGGAAAATTAACCCGTAAAAACAAAGTTTTTCACTATAAATCCTTTATATGCGTGGCATCGGTTTAATTGTATTATTCCTTTCTGTTTTTCTTGAGTAAGTTTCATTTTCATCACATTGGTATTTGAAACAAAATATCAAACTTTTTTTTTCCTAAAAAGTGGAAAATTTTGTAAAATATTTTCACGAAAATAAATTGTCACGCACGAGTCTGTGTGCAAAATGTCAGCTCGATTGGTTCACGGGAAGTGGGTTAAAAAACGATCGAAAGATTTGCACGGTCCTAAGCGCGCAAGCAAGCAAGCTAACTTAATATAAAGGATTTAAAAATAAGTATAATCCGTAAAAACAAAGTTTTTCACTATAAATCCTTTATATGCGTGGCGGCTCGAGTCCTCTCGTCCTCTGGCTTGAGATGGCTGCCACCTATGGGTCAGATGATTGTCTGCAGTATTAAGCAATTGGTAATTAAATATTTAATTTGTTTTCCCTAAACAGTGTAAAATTTTGGGAAAAAATTTTCACGAACATTAATTGTCTCGCACAACGAGTCTGTGTGCAAAATGTCAGCTCGATTGGATCACGGGAAGTGGGTTAAAAAACGACCGAAAGATTTGCACGGTCGTAAGCAAGCACGCAAGCAAGCAAGTGAACTTAATATAAAGGATTTAAAAAAAGAGTAATGTATGTTCAACTAATTATCTGTGAAAAAATAGCTTCAAATCAAGGTTGTCCACGTGGGTCAACGTGCCACTCGATGTAGGTTGTTTTCTTCTTCTTCTTATTCTTCTTCAACAAAACCGGTTACGTTGAAAAGCAAAGGAAAACGTTGAATGAATGGAATGTCTTGAACGTCACTGAACGGAGGCGGAGATGCACGACCAGACATGATTTATGTGCGTAGAACTTCACCAAAAGTAGCAAAGTGAGAATACGCACACACACACCACCACCACTCCACTGGTGTTAACCACCTCACTATAAGAATTAACACGTCAGGGGCCGAAAGCTGTCATCATTAATCTCGCATATATTTAAAATCGATGTTAATCTGTTTCATTAACTTTATTTAAATGTACACCAATAACGTAAATTTCGATTTAAAGCTTTCGTGACTGCAGGGATTCATCTTCTTGGTTCTTTCGGTAAAGTCACGTAGAAGGGAAATAAAATAAAACATAATAAAAAAATATTATTAAAATAAAACTTAATAAAATATTTTAGAATGTTTATTTTTATTATTTTATTATTTCCCTTCTACGTGACTTTACCGAAAGAACCAAGAAGATCATTAACGTATTTAATGAAAGATAATGTCGTTAACATGCGATGCAATGGAGACATTTAATAGACGGATGCAGCTTCTAAAAACACTGCAGTTACAGAGCATAACAGCTGTGAAAATTCCCAGTTAATTCTTCAGCAGTGTGGCGTCTTCTAAAAAAGCACAATTGCAATCACTAATTGCACGGGGCATGATACAAGGCGATCCATTTATCAATGCCCAAATGATTGCCACCACCTTGTCTTCTCAACAGCTGATGATTGACTATCGTGCAAGCCACAGTTTCACATCCCCCCATACCTGACAGAAGCGAGTGTAAATAATATAAAAAAAAACTTTTTTTAAAAACACGCTTTTATGAAATGTACCGCACTAGTAATGGAAGAACTCCACGACTCCAGGAAGTGGCCCCGAAGCTTGCCACAAAGTAAGGGACCGTGGCCAATTACAGCCAACGTCAGTTGAGCGTGGACAATTAGACCCAAGTCGTAACATAACATATAAAAATTAAAGTTACTTTTTTTTAGTTTTAATGATAGAATATAGTATTGTCATCAGTATGACATAAGTATGTCAAGTTTTCAGTCGATACCACATTGGGAAGTGGGTTAAAATTGAGTTACAAGAATTGATGATACAATAACAACAGAGTTAAATGAAAACGTGTAAAAAGTTATGGGGCCATCCATTTAGTAGCTACGCAAAACTTTGTCAAAAACTTGACTACCCCCCCCTCCGAATCCTATAGAACGGCCGATATTTAATCCACGCAGAAACGATCAAGGATTAATACTATTAACGTGTTTAAGCAAACAGACCGCCCACAGCAAGCTGCATTAAATAATTAAGTAGCGTACCTTGGCCACTGATTTTGCCGAGCTGCGTGATAGCTGCAGTCAGGGCCACGTGGCACACGAAGTGACAACCTCTCCCGCAGTCCCACTTCTCCCGGCAGGACTTGTTGTCTCACAGCTGAAGAAGCTGAATTGTGGCTCATTTGAAGGCCAATGGTAAAGTGACGTAGAAGGGAAATAATAAAATAATAAAAATAAAACATAATAAAATATTTTATTATGTTTTCTTTTTATTATAAAATATGTTATTATGTTTTATTGTTATTATTTTTATTATAGGGAAATAATTCTAGGGAAATAATAAAAATATAACATAATCTAATATTTTATTATAATAAAATAATAAAAAGAAAACATAATAAAATATTTTATTGGTTTATTTTTATTATTTCCCTTAAAATAATCAAAATAAAACAATAAAATATTTTATTATGTTTTATTTTTATTACTTTATTATTTCCCTTCTACGTGACTTTACCGAAAGAACCAAGAAGATGAATCCCTGCAGTCACGAAAGCTTTAAATCGAAATTTAAGGCCAATGTAGACAAATTATTATCGAGGCTTTACCCCCCCCCGTACATTGTCAGTAGACCTCCATACGCAAGCAACGTATTTGCGTACGTACTAAATGGATGGCCCCTAAAAGTTTATTTTCCATACAATTACCTGGCTAGGGTAACTGTACAAGGAAACTGCTCTGGATTCAGTGGAGTATCTGTAAATGGATCAGCGGGGAATTCACGAACAAATCACCCCGTATAATAGCAATGCAAAGTAGATTCAGACTATTAATATAACAATAATAACAGCGTTCTTATCGTACATTTTGCACAGACACGGGGTACACACAGTAACATCTCTTGTTTACAGCTTTTAACAGGATGCTGTTGGGGGTTAAAGGCACGGCCGCCTTTGTCTCTCGCCAAGCGCTGATATTTACACACCGCATCGGATACTTTTTTTCAATGCTGAGTCGACCTAGGGGCGGCCCAGGACCGGTTGGAATATTCGCACCCTTGTTGAGCTGGAATGCCGCGGTTTGTAGCGCAGTGCGCTAACCACTGCGCCACCGCTCCCCACAATAATGTAACAATAGAGTACAAAGACAAAGGTTCCCCTAACACCGTACAGCCTGTAACAGACTCTTGGGGCAAGTGCTGTTGGCGAGCAGCACACGAGAGAGGCTGGGTGGCCTGCACCACACACACGACCGCCTTCGTCTCCCTCGTGGCGATGTTTTACACATAGCACAAGCTACTGTACTAGTTTGAGGCCGAGTCGACCTAGGGGAGGGCCCGGCACCCGGTTCAGATTAATCGTCACCGGTGTTGGCCGTGAGCGGGAATCAAACGTGGGGTTGGGTAGCGTAGTGCGCTAACCACTGCGCCACCGCTCCCCACAATAACGTAATAAGAGTTACACACAAAGATTAAAAAACACGGGCAAACATCTATCACCTGTGTGTTGAACTTCATTCGCACCGTACGTAGCCGACCATGCTAATCGGAGGTGCAGTAACTTACCACGAATGACCTTGAGACAGACCCCCGCACTCAAAGTGTAACGCAAACAATTCAAACAACACGCTTCAACAAGAATCACGTTCCGTTCGATCCTTAATCATTGCCAGCATATTGCAGTATTTTCACCCCAATTTTAGACTGCGAAACAACACGACTTACTACTACGCCTGCTGCTGATGCTGCCCAGACTCCGACAACTCTCTTCGGCTCTTGTTCGTGAAATTCACTCCCTTCCCACCAACACCACCACTATCATCATCACCGACGCCCAAAGATAAACTCTTCTTCCCCATCCACCCACCCACCCATCCGCGGTGATTAACAAAGAGACGATCATCGTCATCATCACCAACCCCGCGGCGCTTGCTAGAGACGAGCCCACCAACGACCGTGGTGCTGGCCACCCACCCCCTCGTGTGCCGTGCCCGCCTTGATAGGTGCTCGCTAACAGCACTTGCCCCAACAAGTCTGCCCAGGCTATACGGGTGAGCTTTGCCTTTGTCTTTGCCCTGTGGGGGGAGCGGTGGTGGAGCGGTTAGCGCTACGCTGCGCTACGAACCTGGCTACCCGAGTTCGATTCACGCTCACGGCCAACACCCAGTGACGATTATCTGAACCGGTCCTGGGCCTCCACTAGGTCGACTCAGCCTCAAATGAGTACCTGGTGCGGTGTGTAGTAAACATCGCCACTGGGGAGACAAAGGCGGCCGGGTGTGGTGTTGGCCGTTCATAGGCGCTCGCTAACAGCACTTGCCCCAACAGTCTGTTACAGGCTATACGGGGGATCTTTGTCTTTGTGCCTCGCTCACTCAAAACCCGGCTTAACCAGTCGGCCTGGTCAAAAGTTTGAGGAGTCTCCGAATCACGAGATTGTAGCTGAATAGGTAACAGATATCATCACATTATCCATCCTTACAAAAGGAGAAACACGGTGTGATTTCTTGCGCAGTGACGGAATTTTTTCGTATTTAAACCGACGAACAAAAAGACAACGATCCATACACGTTGCCACGGTTATCTTTGTATACCGTGTATATATATGAAAGGTAGCAATTCACATAATGTCCTTGTGTACAGTAGTGCAGGTTTAGTAACTTTCTCGTGACCCTACAACTCGCCAGTATTTGACCCCACAATGCCATATATTATTTTACAGGGGCCGCAATCATTGACAGGTGTTTGGGAAAACTGAGTTGCCACCACCGTACATGAATAGCAAGTTGTTGATAGGTTATCAATAGCAGTGCAGCAAAAAATCCATTGTTATAGCGTACGTCTATGCTACCGGCGCCGTCATCACTACTGGATCGTAACAAAGACAAAGAACCCCCCCCCCGTATAGCCTGCACAGACTGTTGGGGCAAGTGCTGTTAGCGAGTGCATCGCTGTTGGCCCATGCGGTTTACCCCGTATTCTTGTACTGGGGAAGTTTTCAGGTACAGCCGTTTCAATAAAGGCAACAACTTTTGTTTGCCTATTTGTTTGTGTTTTTTCCTACGTGATGGGACTTTGTAGGATGAACGTTGAGATTTATAAGCGGCACGGGGTGACCGATAAGGTCTGACTTGGTCTGTAATCAGGTAGGAGGCACTTTTGACTTAAAACTTTCGTGACTGCAGGAATTCATATTCTTTGGTTCTTTCGGAAAAGTCACGTAGAATGGAAATAATAAAAGAATAAAAATAAAACAATAATTATGTTTAATTTTTATTATTTTATTATTTCCATGAATCCCTGCAGTCACGAAAGCTTTAAATCGAAAAATCTTTCCAATGATTGCTGAGTCTATAACCTTCCTCTCGGTAGCAATTGTCTCTATGTCTGTATATATGGATGGCTTCATGAACGAATCTTTGTTGATAGCCAGTAGGCTTGAAAAGCACCATCGTCTTAGAGAAATCAATTTTGTGTGAGCCAGCCGCATTAAAGTAATGATCAGCCACGGCAGAAGTATTGGTCTTATCGTGTTTCAAACAGTGGCGGCTCCTGCAAAATCTCTCAGGGGGGGCAAATGTCTGGATGATTGATAAGAATAAGGTCCACCCATGCAATGGATAAATTAACAGCTTAAGCATGTAAAGGCAACTTCACTTCTTTAATATTAATGAAAAATAAAGTGACTCTTACAATACATCTTGTTTGTTTCTATACTCACTATTAAAACAAACCACTCAAGTTTATTTTATTAAAGATTCCACTAGGTAGCGATAAATTATATTGTTGGATGAAACGTGCTTACGTATGACGTAAGCACGTATGATAACGTAAGCACGTTAGTGCGAGCCCTCCCGGAAGCCATAGAGAATGCATTGCAGCGCCCCCCGGTCGAAAAAAAACATCTTTGAATGTAAGTCTATGGGGCCACTCGGGGCGATTCTCAGCCGGAGGGAAATCGCCCAAAAAGAGGCGGTACTCCACAGAACGTGACATGACGCTGATTGGACTATATCCAGAGGCACAGTGACGGCTAGCGTGACTCTGTGGTTCAATGACATTGGTGGTGCGTCGCCCAATCGCCCTAATGAAGAAACCGCCCCTGGTTTCAAATCTACCTTATGTTCACGAACACGGTCCAAGACATGTCGCTTAGTTTCCCCAACGTAACTGCTGCCGCAGACACAGCTTAGTTTGTAGATGCCTGGATATTGCATGTCAGGGATCTTGTCCTTCACAGATGGGATCAGATCACGAATTTTATGTACCGTGTTAAATCGGACCTGGATCTTGTGTTTGTTCATGATTTGGAAATCTTTTTGGTAAGGCAAGGTGATGGTTTTTGATTGGATGCTCTGATGGCTCCTTCCTCACGGTTGGGGTGATGGCTTTGCGGATTGTGTCCTCAGAATATCCATTCGCTCTCTCATTTACACACCGCACCAGGTACTTATTCGAGGCCAAGTCAACTTGGGGGGGGGGCGGGCATGGCCGGTTCAGATAATCGCCACTGGTATTGGCCGTGAGTGGGAATCGAACTCGGGTCGCCGGGTTCGTAGCACTGACCGCTACACGCCCATCAACACTTACCTCCAAACAAGCTGAGTTATACAACACAACCGTCCATTGTTCTATCATCCCCTGCGTTATGAAGACCTGCATATTACACCGTGGCAGCTTGCGTGCGTATTATTTACACTCGCTGGTCAATGCCAGTATGTTAGCTAGCTGTGTTCTCGTCCAGGGTTGTAAGTATTCACATGTAGGCTACAGTGATGGTGTGTGGATGCATCCCACTCCATCAACAAACCTCGTTAAGATCCGGCGGGATGGTTTGTAACCTGTTAGATGTGTTTATCCATGATAGAGGTTTTTGGGTTAGATCTCGTAAATATAATTGTGTCGTTAAATTCACACACTGTGAGTTTTACTCTCCAACATAACCGGTGTTGCTGTACGAATAACGAATTGGCACGTTCTGTTTATGTGACAAACATTTTACTATTTTGCTGTGTCGGGTGGTGGCGGGTTTAACGACACATTTATATTTGCGCTAACCCAAAAACCTCAGTTGTGGATAATATTGGTCGCGAAAGCCTCCGACCACGTGATCAACTACGTGTGTTTACTGTTCAGTCCCGTCTTGATAAGATGTAAAATTCATAAAATGTAATCATTAACGTTTTGCTGCTATATTTTAACATTGTATAAACTGGAATTAATAAAAAAAAATATTGCTGAATTCGCACAAGTGATGTTATTTTCTTCTTCTCCTCCTAATATAAACATATTAAGTATTTTTTTTTATGTTTACTGATGTTTGTTGGTGTTTAGTTTTATTATTGCTGAAAGGCTGAGTGGATGTTGTGTGGTGGTGTGGAGCGGTAGTGTAGCGGTTAGTGCGCCGTACTACGAACCCGACACCCAGTGACGATTAGCTGACCCGGCCCTGGGCCTCCACTAGGTCGACTCAGTCTCAAATGGGTTCCTGGTGCGATGTGTAGACATCGCCACTAGGGAGACAAAGGCAGCCGGGCGTGGTTGCTGGCCACCCACCCCCTCGTGTGCCCTTCTGTCCTTCATAGGTGTAACTCGCAAAACAACATTTGCCCCAATAGTCTGTTAAGACAATATGGGGGATCTTTGTGTGATTGTGCCAGCCAGGGAAGACGAACTCTTTCTCTGCGTGTGTGTGAAGCAGCCTCTCTCCCATGACCTCAACATTATTTCAGTCACGTACTTCAGCCTCCTCTGCGCAGTTGCGTGGGTGGTCTCAAAAAGGGGGTAACACAGAACACAACGCAGACTGCGCCATCATCTTTCTGTTCTGATAAAACCAGATTTGGCATTGGCAGCCCGGCTAACGACTGCTCTTATAAGAAGCTGCTGCGGTGCATTAGGTACAAAAATCATCCCACTCGATGGAGACACTGGCGGAGCCAGTGGGGGGTGGGGTGGCATGTGCCCCCCCCCCCCCCCCAATGATCCGATTGAAATCCCTAATTTCGATCGGATCATCGGGGTTTATTAGTAATAAATCGGCATTCTGCGACCCCCACTGCCACTGTGTAGCATATTATTAAGTGCCAGGGACTCTATGAGATGTTAGGGCAATAGTCTGAGTCCATAATTGGCAATAAGTAACGGCAAAGCAGTTATAAGTGACTCAGAATTGTGCGCAGTTGCGTATACAGAACTTGACTTCCCTGAAGGCATTCACCTTCAGCGAGCGCGATGCCGATCACACAACGCGGTTCGAATTCGACCCTCAATCGATGGCTGCGCCATCGCCGCACACGCGTCGAATAAAAAGCAAAGGACAAGTCCTTACTAACTACTCCTCTATCATTTTTCATTGCTGGAGGGGTTGCCCCCCCCCCGACCTGAAAATCCTGGCTCCATTAGGAAAAAAGATGTCCATTTGTCTCTTCACATGAAGGTAAAATATTAGTTTTGTCTACAAGCGAATTGGCCTCGGCGTTTGTTTAACGCGCCTGACACTCGATGAGACCAGGGAAGGTCACAACCAGCACCGAGTTTGCTTAAACAAATGTTGTTACTAAATTGTAGAGCCAAACGGAAGCCTTTTGTCGTGTATATTAAACTATATATACAAGCCTGTGTATGGCACTTTTGCGATTTCAAAAGTATTTCTGTACCGCGAGGAAGTACAGTAAAGCAATCGGAACAAAAACAAAAACACATTCACTGCTGGCAGAGGGTCTCTGCACACCGTGCGGGTATTGGGGCGGGTATCATGGTTATTAGTTTATCGTACTTCACGATGCTGGCAACTGTGGCTTGGCAAAGACAGGGAGCACAGACGTGGGGGCAAAGACACAGAG